TTCAGTTAAATCCACCTTGATGAATGTTTTTGGCTTCATGCCTGTATAAATCCTCAATGCATACCAATGAAGTGCGCTCCGTCCCGATTTAAAGTGGCTTCCACGCAATTCCCGCGCTGCTTTCTCCTCCCCTGTTTGCCTCTCTCTTTTTATTTCGCCTCTCCCCGGCTCTTTTTCTCTCTTTTTATTCGGCAAAAGAGCGGTATTGTTCGAGAACGCTATTCCGGGACTCAAAAGGTCGTCTCCAGAAATCTACTGGCAAACAACAAACCGACGACCAGGTCGCTGCTACCTGTAATGCCATTAAATCGAATGATACAACGCGCACTAATGACCTCGACCGAGCCTGGTCGTTAGCTGGTCGCTGCGATCAGTAGACTGCACTAAAATATTATTATTTTCTGCCGCTTGTTGTCGCTTTTCTTTCAAATTAATAATTTTTCAGATGAAATCCCTCAAATTCAACGCAACATTTTCTATAAGATATAGTGTTTTAGTGTAGTGTAGGTAGATAAAAAGTTAGTTAGTTAGTTAAAAACCAAAGAAATAGTAGGTATACAGACTGGATCAAAGTGAAGCTTAAATCTAGTCCCTATTTTATCAAGGGTCGATTCCAGTAAACATTCAAAACATTTTTATATGATATACTTTATTTATGGTTAGTATGATACCTGTTATTATAACTTCGAGTTTCGATGGTCAAAACTAAAAACGCATGTTTAAAGTTTCTTTTTGATCTGCCCTGTATAATTTTTTTTTCTTCCTCTACAATGTGTGAAAGCTATACTAATTACCCTGCTGTAATTACCATTAATAAAATAGAAAACAAATTTCTTGCAGTATAGGTATATAATAAAATTATATAAATATTCTTGCCACTTAACTGCTGATATAGAAATTTAATTCTACGCTGTGTTTGTCATAATGTGGATCAACCTGCTCTCACTACCGGTTTCGGAGCCCTACTCCATCATCAGGTGAGCTTGGGCAGATCCACAAAATGACAACCACAGCGCAGCGATAGTTAATTCCGACTTGTCGGAAAGTGTTGGTTAGATATTAAGTCCCGAACGGGAGATAGCGGCCTGCGTGCAATGGTAGTACTTTCGTACCACCGAGCGCACTATCAATAGTAAAAGGATGGTAAAAGGCTTTTTTTCAGGCAAGCCAAATTATAAAATAGAAAACAAATTTCTTGCAGTATAGGTATATAATAAAATTATATAAATATTCTTGCCACTTAACTGCTGATATAGAAATTTAATTCTACGCTGTGTTTGTCATAATGTGGATCAACCTGCTCTTACTACCGGTTTCGGAGCTCTACTCCATCATCAGGTGAGCTTGGGTAGATCCACAAAATCACCATCCAAGCTAACAGACATGAAATTGTGATAATTATTACTTTTTGTCATGGTAACTGTGATGTTATAGCAATTGTATTAAAAATATGGGTAAAAATAGAAAAAATTGGAATAAATCGTAAACTAATAAAAATAGGTATATGACATTCTTAATAAAAGTTGAAGAGTTTGGTAAAATCTATCAGAGAAAATGATAATATATAGGGTGTACCATTTAAAAAAATTGAAATTCCTTAATTTTAAGTAGTTGAAATTCCTAAATACATTTTGAACACCCTGTAACATCTAACTAAAATATCTTTACATAGGTCTTTTTCTATATCTCTATAAAATTCTCCTTCCAAATTTTAGTTGTCCAACTTTAGAATCAATGCCATCTTTGACAATTTTTTAACCCACTGCAATCTAACATTTGTTTAAACAAATTTAAATATAACAAAAACCATTAATTTTAGGTATATAACTAAATATGTGAGGGAGGCTACACCATAATTGGAAATAGTTGAATTTCCTGAAAATGATGATTAGAAAAATATATCGAATAAAAGACTATTCTGAAAAAGAATTCACGGAATACTGTCCCTAAAATAATTCCCTGCCGACGTACAGGCAAAACTACCGCCGCTCCGGGCTTACGGAAAAGTGTCCTTTAATAATAGTAATAATTTCCTGCGGACGTAATTCGTACTATTGCTTAATTCACCGCTAAAACAGATTTAATAAATACCGAAACGGAGCGCAGCGGGGAAAAATACGTTCCTTTTGATACGGTAATTTACCGGCGAGCTGCTGGCAGAAGGATTTGGACGCGAATCCTCTTTCCTTTCTTGCTTTTATTTATCGATTTAGCGAGTTTAAGTCCAAGATGAAATGTATAATGTACTCGGAATTATAATCGTACTCTGAAATGAATTATAATACATTCTTTTTTTGCTGTTTAAGAAGTCTTATTTCCGTTGACATACCGTCTCAGGCGCGTTGAGTTTTAAGAGCTTAATTCAGATAACTAGAAAAAAAACTGTTTATTTTATCTTTTTTTCTATATTTGAAATTTCTCTAAAATGAAAAAACTGATTGTAAAGGATGTATTTAAATTAACATAGCAGCCGATCCACAACTGTTAGTATATTCAGAAAGTTATATTATATTATGGATTGTTATAAAAATGTTTATGATAGGTAATATAATATATAACCTTATGAATCATTTTACATGAATCATTACCTGAGAGCAACTGTAACTATAATTAGTCATAACCGAAAACTATAATTTTTTAACCTTCTCAATCCATAATTATATTATAAATCTAAAACTATTAAGAAAATTTAAAACTAATAAATTATGCGGTATATAAACATATATAAGCCTATTTTCCAACGTTTCATAAAAATTACGGGGCCATGATTGCGAATGTGATTTTGCGATCTAGTCTAGGCCGATGTGCTGGGAGCTGCGAACGAAAATCACAATCGCCGCTCTTCGTTGGCGTGCCCACTCCCGATGCCGCGCCGGTGCCAACGAAAATCGCAATCGCAATGCTGAGATGAGCTGCGATTTTCGTTCAGCTCCTCGTTCGCCTGCCCACTGCCGTGTTGATGACGGGTCGCCACCGGCCGGTGCGTACGAGAATCGCAATATTGCGATTTTCGTTCCCAGCTCATCGTTCAGCTTCTCAGTACCGCGGCCGTGTCGATGCACCGCCGCGCCGGTGCGAACGAAAATCGCAATGCTGTGGTTTTCGTTCGCGTGCTCACTGCGATTGCAAATCACAACTGGTGTAATATTGGTTGCCTAAAAATCCAAAATCGGCAGATATATGTTTCAATCGCAAGTCGCAGTTTTCTATGGAAAGGTATCACAGGTTGCGATTGCGAATTTACAATCGCTGTGATTAAATCGCAGTTTGCGATTTTCTGCTCGTCTCTATTAATAATATCAACTATTAGATATCACTAAAGAGCAAAAATACGAGATATATTTTTATAAATACACTTTTTAAACTCTTAAGGCAGACAGTATTTGTTGACAGTAATATAGAAAATTCAAATAATTCGTTTTTTGACAGATGGAAGTAAATTGTCTGACCGTTTGACACTTTATGCCAAAAGAAGCTAGATAAAATTAAGAAAAATATACGTTTTCAAATTAAATCTTAAATAACTTAAAAACGATTTATTTTAGGTATAGGAACTATAGTTAAAAAATAATGAATTAAAAAACCTTTTCATTAGTGAAATAAAAAAGGGGGTTTCCATTTGAAAAAAAAAATATTTATAATAATTTTTTAAACGCTCAATTCCATGACAGCAACCCCTATTATTGTATGACATTTGAACAATTTAATTTTGAAAATAGATAGCCACATGTCTTCTCTTTATGTCACAGTGGCTGCGGTAATCACTAAATTTGACTTTTAGGCTATACACATATTTTTGACAGCCAGTTTTTTTTGTCCCAAAAATATATGATATTTTTTTTCTCAAAAACGGTTAATGTTAGATATAGAGTGTTTAACATCAATATTCATATAATTTTACAGATAATTTAAGTATGTAATAAAAAATGGGGGCACCCATTTAAAATAAGAAAGTTGCTGTCAACTTCCGGTATTTCCGGAAGTGTCGCCATATTAAAAATATTTTTAATCGATAGATCTCGATGTAAAACAGTACTGTGCAAAAAATCTCCGATCTAGATATTGTGGTTCTCTAGAAACTTCTAATGCACGCTCAGCCTGGGACACCCTGTAAATTATGCATCTTTGTCATGTTACAAAATGTTTGTCATACCCTAATAAAAAGTTCAATCTCACAACGATTCACTCAAAGTCCAAGCACAGATATTTTACAAAAAATATGTAACATAAAACATAAAAATGTAAACAAAGCAAAAAGTACAATGACTTAGTTCCTAAAGCAACAATTATGGTATTGTCAAATTAAATATTGAAAGCTGAAAACTGACATTTATAAATTTTTAAATAAAAAAGTGTGAAGTGTGTGTTATTGAACGAACAATTTATGCTAGCCATTATTCACGCAGGGTAACGTTACCGTCACGAGCCGTTGGCGAGGAGCGCAAGTCACCCGAGTGAATAATGGCTAGAAATTGCGAGTTGAATACTATACTTTGTCCACGGCCATTATAATAATTATGAGAAGTGTTTGAATTTATATTTTTAATGTTAATCTTACTATTATTGTATTCATGTTTTAGGGGAAAATGTCACTACCTACTTAAAATTTGGCAATTTCAAACGTCAAAATTAACTAAAAGGTAGTAAAAACGTCAATATCATCAGTTGCTATGCATCGAGAGTCATCTCGAACTATTCTATTTTCAAATATTTGGGAAGTTTATTATAAGATGTGTTTTTGGTGACATTTGGTGACAGACCTATATATAATATTTTTTCTACCACCTTTAGTAAAATAAATTTGTTGAAAATGATAGATCGTACCAGCAGCAGCTGACTTTTTGTTGTTTTGTGTATCTAAAGTTGGTAATTTGTGTTTTATTTATCGTTAGGTGGTGGTGGTTACCGGGTGGGTCTCAAAAGTGGCTCACCCCTATAACTTTTTAATTTTTTCAGATAAAACAACGAGATTTGGTATGTTAGTCTTCTTCTTTATGTACCGTCTCCATATCGAAGGTTGGCTATCATCATTGCTATTTTGACCTTGGAAGCTGCGGCCCTGAATAGGTCAGATGACGTGACATTAAACCATTTTCGCAGGATATTCTTCTCCTTCCAACAGATCTTTTTCCTACAATTTTTCCCTGGATTATGAGTTGCAAAATCTCATACCTTGGACCTCTCATGATATCGCCGAGATATTGCAATTTTCTTTTTTTCACTTCCTTGAGGATCTCTACGCCCTTCCCCATTCTTCTCAGAACCTGCACGTTGGTTACATGTTCTGTCCATGGTATTCTCAACATCCTACGGTATGTCCACATCTCGAAGGCCTCCAGTTTCCGCTCGCAAAGCTCGTTGAGGGTCCAAGCTTCCATACCATACAAAAGGACTGGGAATACATAACATTTGAGCATACGAGTTCTCAGATCTAGGCTCAAATCGCGGCTGCAGAGCAGCTTCTTAATCTCCACAAAGGATGCGCAGGCCTTCTCAATGCGAATCTTTATTTCTGAACAATAATCCGCGGTGCAGTCGACACTTGTACCCAGGTAGTCATACCTCTCTACTCTTTCGAGCTCCTCGCCTTCCGCCTAGAGATGTTCATTGGGCACTCCAGTTTTAGTGACAATCATGTATTTGGTCTTCTTAACATTGAGTGTCAGACCATATTCTCGACTGGTTGTGATGAGGTTATTTAACATATTCTGAAGGTCTTGCATGTTTTCAGCCAGTATTCAGACTGTATCGTCCGCGTTGCGCAAATTGTTCAGTGGTATGCCGTTAACTAGTATTCCACCAGCATCATTTTCGATGGCTTTGTTAAAGATTTCCTCTGAGTAGACGTTGAAAAGGAGTGGTGAAAGAACACACCCCTGTCTAACTCCTCGTTTGATATCCACTGCTCTCGTCAGTTCAGATTGGACGCGAACAGACGCACTTATGTAGTATATGGTATGTTAGTATATAACATAAATTAGGATTGACTGACGTATTCAATTGTCTTTGGTCGCTTCCGGTTTCACCGGAAATGACTACAACTTTTGATTTTTAAATGGCATCCTCGGAATTTTTTTACTTTATTCGATAGAAAATGACACTCTGAATAGAATGACATATCATATGTCAACTTTTGACATTTTCACATATGGTTTATTTGAAAATGTAACATGAGGTTCATAACGACAATTTGACTTGAAATACCAAGTGTGTGGTATCAAATTATTCGTAAAAAAATACTTTTTTCAAATATGCTAATGAGCCACGCTCGTTCCATTTGAAAAAATTGAGATATGATTAAAAATACGATTTTGGCATATTTTAACCAGCTCCACAAGACACTAAAGTTCTTCCAAGTCTCCTTGATTAAAAATTGGTGATTTTTAACACAGCCATAGCACGCTAGAATGAAATTTAAAATAAATTTGTTTTTGAGCGAATATGTCAAAAGTTGACATACGATATGTCATTCGATTCAAAGCGTCATTTTCTATCGAATAAAGTAAAAAATACTGAGGGTGCCTTTAAAAAATCAAAAGTTGTAGTCATTTTCGGTGAAACCGGAAGTGACCGAAAACAATTGAATACGTCAATCAATCCTAATTTATGTCATATACTAACATACCAAATCTCGTTGTTTTATTTGAAAAAATAAAAGAGTTATAGGGGTGAGCCACTTTTGAGACGCACCCGGTATATGTATTTGAATTTTATTGATGCTGCTTCAAGTTTTTTGCATATAAAACATATTTTTTAATAATCACTTAATAATCACTACCTACTTAACATTTGACAATTCTAAACGTCAAAATTAATAAAAAGAAAAGATAAGAAAAACGTCAAATCATCCATCGCGCGTCGGGATGTTGTGAGTGTCACGTTGCGTTGGCATAGCAACAAATGTAAAGTAAACGCAAAGTGTGATTCATCATAATTCACTGTTATCAGCTGTTATATTTCACTCTATTACAAATACGGGCACCATATTCCTTCAGCTAGGAAGTAGAATATTGATTTATTATTAAGTGGTCGTGAACAAAAATATTTATGATTTAATGAAATACTATACTCATTATATAAATAATCATATACGATCTTTGTTAATAAACTCTTTTAATAATAAGTGGCACGCTAGCTTCTTTGTTTACAGCTAGTTTGTATATCTTGGATAATTAGTTTTATGTAGTAAGGTTCTTCTGTTTATACCTGTTATTTGTCTGGGGGTTACACTGGCCATTTTTATAGAAAAATTATACTTATATGTATCAATAGTGGTCGTAACCAAATTTTTTAAGATGAATTAATACGAAAATATGTGCTAGCAAAATACCTGTACTATGAGCCTAAGAAAGTGGCTCTGAGTTTCCAACGACTGTGAAATATCTCGAAGTTTTCTTTTTGTTTTCTCAAGTTCTGATATAACGTAGTCTTCCGAGTTTTCCATAGCTAGATCACCTACAAGAAATCGGTTTTCTATAACCACCAAAAACAAGTACGTGTTTCAAATTTATCAAAAATGCTACTCACACTCATCTGAAAAAGGACTGCCAAACCATTTCTTCAAAATAAAGTCTACAAAGCCTTTCTTATGTTTAGCTTCATTGGGATATTCGACCAGTTCCTGTTTATCTACCTTTTCCAACCATCTTTTTGGTAATTTTCGTTCTAGTTCAGTGTGCAAAACCACCTAAAATACAACAAAAATACATAGGTCACTTGTTGTGGTTATGTCAATCAATAAGATCAAGTAAATTTTGATAAATACAAAATTGATGTTCGGAAGTACCTTATAGAGTGTCACTTGAGTGAAAATATCATTGATATACAGACCGGACCACCGTAGTAGTAACATAGGCAGAACCGGACGAATTAGCGTATACCCGTCCGCCGGATAAAAAGCAAGCGAAAAAATGCGATAAAATAAAATAGGTAGATATGTGATAAAGAATGTTTCAGAATTTGTATTTATTCGTTTTTAATAACCAAAACGAATACATAGATTCTCCCGACAGCTCTCATGTAATTTATTTTTTAAAGTAAAATAATGGATGTTTACGAAGTTCGTGAGAAAAATTCAAATTAATAAATGGTATTTTAAACCCACGTTTTCAAATCAAATTGCTGAAGTAACAGATTCTTCACCTAGCAATTTAGATGAAAACTTTATTCCGCGTATAGTTTTCACCGACGAATCAAGTTTTCATTTATTGAGTCGTCATAACCTTACACAAGTACGATATTGGTTTCGGGAAAATTTGCACAAATATTTTGAGATATTGCGCACGCAATATCCCCCAAAAAGCTAAATGTTTGGGGTGGTTTTGTAAGGGAGCATATGATTGGTCCATTTTTATAGAGGGTAATTTAACTGTTGCGAAGTATTTGGACTTGTTACAACAGCAGATTGTGCCTAGAATTCGTGAGTTATTGGGAGAAAGATACCACAATGTCTGGTTTCAACAAGATGGTTGCTCTGCCCACAATGCCCGTATTGTTCAAGCATATTTGAACAATACTTTTCCCAATCGTTCAATTAGTGGATATGGAACTATTTTTTGTGGCCCGCTAGATCGCTAGATCTTTCTCCCAATGATTTCTTTTTGTGGGGTTATGTGAAATCCAAAGTGTATGGTCATAATAGGGCTAATAATCTGGATGAGCTTCAAGTAAAATACGAGAGGCTTTCCAAACTATTAGCCCTAATATGTTAGCCAATGTCAGACGGGTATTTTACGACCGCCTAGGCTTCTGTCTAGCACAAGAAGGTGGTCTTTTTGAACACTTGTTATAACTTTTTTAATTTAGAGTAATATTTTATTTTTTTTAATTTCATTGAGGTATTTTTTAATTTTGGAAATGAGTTTTGGGTTTAGAGAATTTGTTTATTTTTAGTTTTGGATTGTAAACACACTCAAATAATAAATATTTAAGTATTTTATTTTAAAGTCAGAGGCGCAACTAGACATATACCTTTAGGGGGGCTCAAGTCTTTTGGGGGGCTTAGGTTACTATAATATAAGATTCATGTGAGTTAAAACCAATTTTACACGACACGCACGGTCACCTGGGGGGCTAAGCCCCCCTGCCCCCCCCCCAGTTGCCTCTGCCTTAAGTGATGGTAAACACTTAAAATGAAAATAATAAATGCTGGGCACTCCTCGCGTCGTATTCCTAGTCTGTCACGACCGACCCGTCCAAGCACAACTGCAACTGCCTACTGCCTGACCAGCCGTCTAGCCGGTAATATATATAAGTACAAATAACTATATAAGTACAAACGCAATCGGATAAGCGTAAAATCGTCCGGCAAGTTGCTATGTTACTAGTAGCCTGGTCTTCTCTGTATAAATGTCTTAAATATATATATTTGTTTGTTAGACATAGTAGTCATAGTATACATAGTTTAAATACCTGCATAGCTAAGCGCTTCAACTGGGCATTTCTTCTGACGCTTTCGATATCACCAACTGCCAAACCAATAAGCAGATTCATTAGTAAAATCGGCATGAGAACCATAAATAGGCCCAGCATTAGGAACGCAGGCATAGGAAATGGTAAGAAAGTATTTTCGTCTTCTTTGGTGTTGAGATAGTAGTAATATGGTTTGACGTAGGTACCAAGAAAGTCTATTTCTCCCAGCATCATTGAGAAGGTTCTTATCAGTGACATCGGTATAGATTTAAAAGATAAGTGATCACCCTGTATAAAAATTAAATTTAGTGTTGTTTTTATATTATACACAGTGTTCTCTAATGACATGCTAATATTTAAGGGAGGTGATTCTTGGACCAATTCTAAGAAAAAACTTCATTTGGATATAATATGTACTAAACATCTCAACTTTTTAGATACAGGGTAATGACACTGTTTTTTTCAAAATATTTTTTATGTTATATCTGATACTTTGTTCCATCATATTAAAATTCTTATTTTGATTTACAAAAAAAAAATTGTTTTATTTCTTCATCTTCTTCCAGCCGATGAAGAAATGATTTCGATAAAAGTCACCGCATCAGATTTTCAACGATTTGACCCCGAAGTAAACTGACTTTAATTTTTTAAGTAAAACAACAGGAGATAAAAATTTTTAGAAACGAATGGAAATTTTAAAAATAATTTTGATTTTAAGAGAAGTCAGTGATGTACCACTTTTTCTCAAAATATTCAATGTAAAACCGTATGGACGGCATTGGTTGAAATAAATAAAAATTCTTTGTACACCAAAAAAGGTATTTTTGATCATATATAAGACGTGTATCAAGTTTCATAAAGATATCTATAACAAAATCAAAATTATTATAAAAATAGTTTTTTTTAGAAAATTTTACCACCACAATACCCTCAAAAATTAGGATATTTAGGACATACATTCATAATATGAAGATTTTCTCTTAAAATAGGTCCGAGAATCATTACCTTAAATATTAGCATATTAAATTAAGAATTTCCCTAACATAAATAATAAAAAAATATAAAAATATTTTCAAATTCCTAAAAATACAAATACACTTTAAGTTGAATCTTTGCGATTAAAAACCGTATGATAAAAAAACGGCGTCAAGACGGCAGGGGAATGACAATCGATAATAATTTTTGGCGATGTCAATATCTAGATATCATTTAGTAAAAGTGTATAAAAGCAAAATTAACACAATTATTATACAAAGATTTATTTCCAAAAATATTTTTTCTCCAATTTTTCTCGAATTACTCCATTTAAAAATAATTTTACTCAATATAGAAATAAATTACAACCCTCTTAAAGGCCCAACTGGCAGTAAGCGCCATTAAAAAGAATGCTGTTTTTCGGTCGTATGGTACATTTACTTCACTCCTCCCAAAGATTTGTTTACTATTTTTTAATATATTTCCGTAACAATATAAACATTTTTTGCCAAAATAATTAAAATTCAAAAGACTAAAAATAATTAAAAATGAACTTAAAAGATATGTCAGTAAAATGGTCATTAGTTTTAGTTCCTAATAATAATTTGAGTGTTAAGTTTTGTTTAGGTTTGTTGCATAAAAGATGATGAGGATGTTATAAAGTATAATTTTAAGATTAAGGAAGACAAGACAAATACAATTTTTTACTTAAAAAGATTCTAAAAACTTGCACTGTTATAAAGGCTAAAAAATCAAGAAATATGAATAACATATTGTATATCAATGATTTATTAATTTTGGTAGTTTGACTTATGACGTATACTTTCTGAATAATCTATACTGCTATTAGAATTTTTTTTTTTTTTTAAATACAAATATTATAATAGATATTTTCGACAAATATTGTTGAAAAGAGTTATATTTCTCATTATTTTTTTCACAATATATTTGAATATGAGATATATTTTGTTATTAATTTTAAAGAAGTATATTAGAGACAAATTATATGTTTTTCATATTTATTTTGATTTAACATTTAACAAAAACTTGAAATAATTTAATAATGTGGCTGTCAATGTCAAAACCTTTTATATTTTCGGAGCATTTCCAAATATTTAATGCATTCATTCACAAAACATCCCCCTTTAGAACTTTTTCTTTAATGGCCATAAGCGGGAGTAAAAGCCCAACCGCCCGAACAAACACTAGAGACGGTGGCGTCATCAAATGGTGTAAAAATTGCGAAAATTTAATCATCTAATTTTGACACAAGGGGTCGCGCTTAACTTTTTCAATTTTAATTCAATATTCATTGTTTTCAAACTATATTATTAGACTTTGCTGTATTTTGTGAATGTATACATGTTTTCTTAGTATAAATTTGCATTAGTAATTTAAATTATATTATAATACATACATATTTAAGATTCAAATATTATGACATATGTCAGTTGCCGTCTAAAATGTCATCTTGATAACAAAAAGTTAGTTATTGTCAAAAGTAGTTAAAATCATGTTAAAATATTAAAATTTGCAAGTTATAATTAAAGACATTTTATATTACTTCAACAACAAACACATAAGAGTACAGCGTAATGTTGATATGGAGGTCCAAAACAAACAATTGCGTTATTTTCAGTTTTCGTTGTCAACCGCGGAAGTTTCAGTGATTTAAGTGTTGTCGGATATTTTATTTGTGAAATAGAAATATTGCGTTTGGATTGCAAAACTAAAGTGGAAGTTTTATTGCAATGTAAGTAAACGGTTGTCCATTTATATTTGACTTTTTAATACCTACGACAAATATACATATATTGAAATTTATAATTCATTTTATTTAAAAATGTTAGAAAACAAGCTTGTAATCCTATAATTAACATAATTGTTATGTAATATATTCCATTTAAATGTAATATATTGCTTTACAATTAAAAAGAAATAAATTTAAAAAATATAATATATACAGGCATTAGTGAAATTTTTAAGTGCGAACAAACACGAGAGACGCTTTATTATTTACTTTCATTTCTTAACATGACAGCCGAAGTTCTAAAGGGGGATATTTTGTGCATTCATTTTATTCTATAACAAACATCGCGTGTACAAAATAGTTAATTTTACTCTAACTCTACTTACGTTTTACAAAATTAACCTGTTTAAAAGCTCTCAAAAAATAAAATCAATAATTTTGTTACGTCCTTACTAAAATTCTTTTATTTACTGTCCTTAACTAAAACTGAATGCTAACGAAAGTATACTTACTCTTGAAAGAAGAATATAAAAAGCTAGTCCGAACGCAATAATTAATATGGAGAACACCATCAAGACTTTGATAAGAGTTTGCAGAATTTCCAGGAACATTACCACGTAGATTCCCACTTGGTCAAACCTTTGCAATCTCAGTAAATAAAGTTAATTTAGAAATACCATCACTATGGCCGCAATGTATAGGAGCCAAGTAACCAAATTGATAGGGTTTATGAAATATAAAAACTTTTGCTGGAATACTAGGGCTAGTTCTCTACCTGCACTGACTACGATGTAGACCAAAATAGCTAGAGCGCTGATGTGCATGGAATAATTGATATGGACGTTTAGAATTTCTGATTTTCTTTCTGAAAATTGCTGAAAAATAATAATATTGTGTCATTGTTAGTGAAATATACAGGGGTGTTTTAAAAAACATGTGCTATCTTTCATAGGGAGATTCGTCTTGTAAACATAAGATTTACTTTTTATCCCAACATAGGCCAGATTCTGCTTTGTTTCGTAGCTACAAAAGGGTTAAAGACTTCATCTTTTTTCGATTTATTTTAATTTTCTTCCAAGTGCTTTTAGCGATTCGAATGAAATTTTGACGGTAAAAGTTACTATAAACGCGACATATTTTAGTACAAAGAAAGTGTCGACATATTCACCACGGACATGCATATGGGCTAACAGTGGAATATTTTTCAAAGAAAAGATGTGTGCCACTGACTATTTTTTCTTTTTTTTAACGCTTTATTGTACAAAAGGTCAAAATAGTTTCATCGACAAAGCATTTACAAAACAAACAAAAAGCACAAAAAATTTACAAATAATAAAAAATATCATACAACACAAATCATACAATTCAAAAAAAATTACGTCATTAAAATTACAAATAGAACATACATACAAATTCTATTGGTACAAAAGGCGTATCAATAAAATTTTACAATAGGAAAATTGTAAATGGATATAATCATTTAAGAGTTATAAAATATTAAATACTAGACTTTCAACCAGTGTGTGAGATGATTAAATTTTAAAATTCAAAATTGTGTTCTTGACTAAACATCAACAAAAAGTCATTTACCGCATATAGGGCTCTCTCCAGTAGATATGATTTCAGAGCTTTGCAAAATGCGGAAAAAAAGCGACTTGATATTCAAAGGCACATGATTGTACATTTTTTTATCATTGTACAGTATTGATCCTTTAACTAGTTCTGAGCTCGGGGTTGGCAGATAAAGATCGTGCTCCGGCATTCCAAAATGGATAGTTGCGAGATGGCCTTTCGGAAACAGCAGATATTTATCTGCTTGCGGATTAAGCAAACGGATTCAAAAATGAATAAAGAAAGAAGAGTCAGTATTTTGAAATTTTAAAAAAAATTCTGGCAGTTAGTTCTATTGTTCAGTCCCAATAAATATCGAACAAAATTCTCTTTTAAAGTATGAAAATGCGATCAAATTTTGTTGCGCAGGAAGTACCCCACAATGGAAGGGCCTAACCTAACCTAACGAAGATGTGATTCAAAAAGGGCATAATAGGCTATTCTAGAGGTTGGTAAGTTAAGTTCCTTAGAAACTGATCTTATCGCAAAACAGGCAGCGCTTAGTTTTTTGATAAAGCTTCGATGTGCAAGACCTATTTTAGAGAGTTGTCTACAACAAGTCCTAAGATTTTTTTTCGTTAAATGTTGACTGTTTTTCGTTAAATGTTGTCTCTTGATGTTTTGTCGATTTTGGTCTCACTGATGAGATAAACACAATTTAATTAATTTGCCTTAATCCAATTCTAATAGCAATCCTTAAGAAATAATGTTATTAACTTGCCAAAATGCTAAATAAGTACTCATTAATTCTTCATCAAAAAACATAAAAAAAGTTACTATAAATACGAGCCTAGTTTTAAAGTTACAGGAAGTTAAATTTTTTTCTGAACAGCCTTTTGTAATTATTTTAAATATCATTATTTCCGGCGGATTATATTTGCTGGGGGTAGTGTGGGTACCAAACCAAACCAAACCAAAAAACTACCGTCAGTATTTTTTGATACATAATTTTAATAAAATTTAATAATAAATAGACTAAATAAATAATTTATTATTATTATTTTTTAATTGTGATTAATAAAATTGTGTTTATCTTATCAACAAGATCGAAATCGATAACTTTTCAAGATACAACTTTTAGTTGGCATTAACCCAAGTAGCATTTGGACGTCGGGACAACGTTGTGTCACGCGACCAAACGTCGGGGCGCAACGTCGGCACAACCTCGTGCCAACCCTAGTCTGCACTAGTTTGGAGAATAATTTTTGGGTCGAAACGACGTTGGATACCGACGTTGGCTAGCAGCCTAATTTAGTACAAACTGCAACGTTGTTTAAAATCCTAATTCACAGAAATACAAAACTAATATGGCGTCTAAGTCGCGTTTTATCCTAAATTGGGATAATTATAGTAAAAATATTATATTTATAATTTAGTTAGAGACATATGTCAGATGGCAGTGAAGGAAAACAAAACAAAAGTATTTAAGTGTGGAGGATGTTTGAAGATCATAATTATTGAAACACTTTAACCGACTCTGTAACTCGTTACCCAAGGTAAAAAGTTAAACGCAAACAACTTTATTGATAAATGTATTGTTTCTACTTTAAAAAATACTAATGGGCCTTGAAATTAAAGAAGTTTTAAAAATTTTCTTGAATTTTTTTTTTAGTAAAATGAGAATAATTTATTCGCATTCGAAAAAATTGTTTCCGCGTATTTTTTAGGGTCAAATATTTCAAGTTAATGTATTCAAAAAGCAGGAATTGCTATTTTAAGAACGAAACATTTTCTTATTTAACAACATGGCGGCTTTAACTTTGTTGTTTTGGAGATTAAGATGGAGTAGTTCGAGTAGTCGCATACTGGACTAATAAAGTCGCAGTTCGGCCTTAACAGGTAGTATACTAGTCGCAAGATTGCCTAATTTAGTCATTCTAGAGTCTAGCTTGTGCCGCCCTCTATAATCTAAATAAACGAGGAAGTGTCGGTAATATATGTCGATGTATATTTAAATTTAGTTTTATATGTACCTTTCTTATGTCCCATTTTAATTAAGTTTTTTTTTTATAAAAACAAAAACAGCACTGAACTGTCTGACTGAACAGAACAATGAATTGAAAATTTAAGATTTAAGGTTATGGTTCAATACAGTTGCAAAAAGGTAGTGACTCTACGTCCTACCAACGTAAGAATAAGGAAAACTAAACAACGTTGGAATTAGTAAAACAGACGACGTTTGCATAACGTTGGAATAGGTCCTGAAACTGACGTCGGAAAACTCTAAATTGTCCAACGTTGTAACTACGTTGTCCGAATCACCTAAAGATCACTTAAGCAAAAAAGGTTAGAAGACAACGTTTATTCGACGTCGCAGAAGCTTCTACTTTGCTGTAGTACTAGTCCAACGTCGGCACAACATTATAAAAACGTTTAAATTCATTTTAATACCCAAGGTAGGGAGCTAACTATTTTTTGTAACTAATCCAACGTTGTGTTTAGTAAACATGTGGTCGCAAGTCGTGAAAATGCTACTTGGGAAGCGGCCTACACAATTTTGTGAATAAGAGAAAAACGTCAGTGGCGCACATGTTTTTTTTTGAAAAATATTCCAGTGGTAAACCATATGCACGTCCCTTTTTAGCATTAAAATATGTAGCACTTATAGTAACCTTTATTCTCAAAATTTCATTCAAATCTCTAAAAGCACTTGGAAGAAAATTATAATAAATCGTAAAAAAATAGACTTTAACCCCGTAGCTACAAAACACAACAGAATCGGACCTATGTTGATATAAGAAATAAATCTTATTTTTTACGTGAGGAATCTCCACACGAGAAATGGCACATGTTTTTTGAAACTCATTGTATGATGCACATTTCATCTAAGACACCATAATAACGGTTTACAGCAGTACAAATACAGAAATATAAAAAATTTACCGAGGTTTTGGTCATGTTGGCATAGTTCATGTAGCTAAAATTCAGCGCAGCTTCGTGTTCCATGAGCTGAGAGGTGAAGCAGGTGACGGAGCCTAGAAATAGACAGTAAAATAGCAGATTTGCCAGATGGAAGTATTTTCCGTAAGAGTTCCACTTCATTTGGAGATATTTCTGACTCAGTGGATGAGCTAGCAATTCTACTCGTCCGTGAGTGACCATTGCCTAAAAATAAATAATGAAACATATTGGGTGGTCTGAACAACAATTTTTAAAAAACTTAATGAACTGTCAAGAACATTCGTGAAGCATCTAAAAGGCAATAAAAAATATCTTTATATCAGCTGCTTAAATCAAGAGTTAATATTACTATATGTAGATAGTAAATAAACCATTTATTTTTAAGTTTACTTAACTGTAAAAATTCTTAAAATATTTGATTCATTTTAATGAAATTCACTGACAAGTTCTTCAGAAGATAAATTCTAATATTAACTTACATTGAGGGCTGGTAAAGGCATAGGTTTCTCAGTATTTTTATCGTCGCCATTCTCCACAAGATTGTTACATTGAAGACAACTAAAGTTATATTTTATCTAAAAAATAAACTCTATTTTACAAATGACCTTTATATTTATACGTATTATATTACCGAAAACGTTTTTGAATCCTTCTTGCAGTTTGACTTCATTATTGACTTATCTTGAACTGCTTCAAATACTCTAGGCATCGCCGCTATCAGAGCCAAAGAAACTGATGGATATTTTGAAGATTTCAAGAGCATTACTTCTTCAGCCCTATAAAAAACAAAATATCTTGATAATTAAAAATAATTAAAAAAGATGTTCAATGTAAAAACAAATCTTAAAAATCAAAAGAAGTGTGTTCTATATGGTTATATAATTTCGATTTCATTCTTTTTTTCTATAGCAACTGTTAAAATTACCTTATATCTATCAAAAATAGTAGATAAAGTAGTACTTTAACCGCAAGGGTAGATTAAATGATACTTTAACAGCGAGGATAGGTTAAAAACTTTATTTCTTCTCGCACGTTTATTAATTGCTTCCATTTTTGAAAATTTTTGTATTCCGCCTTTTCATAAGTTATTCGGGAATTAAATGGAAGTACTTGGGATATGGCGTTTGTCGCCTCAGCCTGAATATCTGTTGGTAATTTACTTATTTCGTTTTGATCCATTTCTGGCTCCAATTCAATCAGCAATCGACACGAAAGAGAATTAAAAAATATTGACCATAATATGGACTCAAAACTGACAACTAAAGAGACAGCTTTATTTGTCAAATTACATAGAAACCAACACCAACCCAGCACAATATTTTTTCTACTCGTAATAAATTCCTTGAAATAATAATTTCTGAATATTTTTTAAAACGTAACTCGCTATGGAAAAAAATATTGTTTTATACACGACGATAAAATTGCATTATCAAACCAAATACAATTTTATTGTGCCAAACCAAACCAAATACAATTTTATTGTCTTGTATAAAAAATAACTATAATAGATGGATATTATTAAATTTGATTAACGTCATATTCTTTGCTGTTGTTAAAGTATCATGTTTTCCGATAATTATCATCACTCTTAAGTCCCATACTCACACTTCGCTACTTCACTTCCTTCCTTCGTCGCGTTCCTTCGTCCAAAAATCTTATATTTACTATGGAAAATGTCGATTTTATGCGACTATGTGTTACTTCGTTCCTTCGTCAAAACGCTCCTTCGTCCGTTTACTTCCTCGAAACGCTCACGCTCCTTCCCCGTATTGTCAGTTTTTGGACGAAGTAGCAAAGGAATTATCACGAACACAAAAAAATATTAAAATATATAAAATATATAAATCGATCTTGGATTTCATTCGTAGTTGATTTCTTGATTGGGCAGTACGTCTGTACAGGGTCCCATTTTCATGTGTTTTGCAGGGTTTCTCTCTTATGAGTTGAGATACAAAGATGCGGTTTTCACATTACGCTGTTACTTTTTTATGAAAGTAAAGATGCTACATACAGATATGTCATAGCTCTCTTACTTCCTAAAATACATGGCGAATCTGAAATTATTGCATTTTTCGATCCCCTTTGTATCATAACTTATCGAAAAGGTGAAAACGGTCTCCCGTACAGTTTTTCACGTAGAATGCAGTGACGTAACTATTTCTTCGTTGGAGTCTTTTTTTAAATTGACTAAAACTTATATGTTTTTTTAAATGCGGTATTTTGTATATTATTTTATTTTCCTTGTTACGGGCTTTCTAAAATACTTATTTTTATAAACGGTGCATTATTTAACTTTATTACATAGTCGGCCGGTTTAAATTAGGTAATCAAAACAATCAACTAATTTATTCGACGTAAAATGTTGGTTACTGGCATGTTATTTAAAAGCAGCACAAGTTCAAAATATCACGATGCAAAGCAAAATTACCTGGTAAAATTAAGTTAAATAAAATAAGAGCCGTTTAGCAGTTTAGCAGTACCTAAATAAATAAATATAGAGTATATTATAATTTTCGAAAGCTCATAACAAGGCAAATAAAATAAAAAATAATATAAGAGTGTCCTGTTTAAAAAAAGAATATAAGTTTGAGTCATTTTTCGAAATAGACAGCTCCCAACGAAGAACCACTTTCGTCACTGCCATTCTATTTGAAAAACGAGACACGGGCAGTGGATAAGTACTCAATAGGTAGAACAAAACAAAATCAGGGTATCCGGTATATACCTGTACATTTAGATGAACAGTCTAATTTTACAAAAAGGTATTTCCAACGACCGCTATATACCTATATTGTAGATATTATATATTGATATATTTCTATTCCCGGTATTATACCGGGTATTTACTATGCGGTCGTCGGAAACTCCTTTTATTAAAATTAGGATGTTCATCTAAATGGACAGGTATATACATATATACCCAGATTTTATTTATCTACAAATTGGGTACTTACCCACTGCCCATCACTGACCCTTTTCACATTTTCAAATTGAAAAATGCAAAAATTTCTACTAATTAAAAAATAAAAAGTAAAAGAAAGAAATAAGAAATAACTTTGAACTAAGAAGGCTAGGATAAATATGTGTGTAGCATATTTAGTTTCATAATAAGAACAATGATGTGAAAACAGCATCTTTATATTTCTACTCATTAACTAGAAACCCCATAAAACACACAAAAATGGGACATCCTGTACATCTAGCAATCGCCAGTCGATATAAAAATAATTCACACACAATAGTCTAAAAAATGGAAGAAAAAAACAATATTGTCTTCATATTTGTGAAAAAATACATGTCCACATTTATGTAATCGTAGCGACAAAAATAAAAAAAATACAAATAGTGTGCATGATGCCTTTACAAAAATATCTGAAAAAATGGGGATTGGCTTCATTAACTTTTAATTAGTATGTCATATATCATGGTTTCGATATAAATTACATAATAAATTTTACTCTATTGTTGACTCGCCTTGTACATTCATACTGATATACCTTGTACATGATACTGAAATATTCGGATTTATTAAAAAAATATATATTATTAAAATTCAATTTTTATTTTTGACACGACAAAGAATTGCAGTTTTATAAAATAAAAATTATGCGCCTTTCGGATTTTTTTAAAAATTTTAGAGGTTACTAGATATTTCGTAATAAACATGTAGCTGCTATATTAAAAATATTTTGTGGTGTGTTGTTGCATAATTGACTAATTTCCAAGCATCGAATGGACGAAGGAAGGAAGCGAAGGGACGAAGAAACGCGAGGAATTAACGCGAGGAAGGGACAAAGGAGCGAAGTGTGAGTATGGGGCTTTACCGTAGTAATGAACTAAATAAATTTTGTACTTCTTTAACACTTTAAAACAGCAAAAAATATTACGTTAATCGAATTATATGAATAACAATCTATCAAAGAATATGCAAAGAATGAAAGCGAAGTTATATTACCATAGAAACGCGTTTTGATTTTTAGGATTTTAGGAATTAAATTATGTTTTCCGGTTTTTTTATTTTCTTATTGGGATTAATCATTTTAGAACAAGCAAAAATATTTTGATAAAGAATGCATTTTTCTCAAAATTTTAATAACAAAAAGTTTTTTCTTTTGTAAAGACAATTCGGGGACATACTGTATAATGTTTACATAATTGTCGAACTGTTTTCCATAACATCCTGTCTATAATATGTATGTATTTACTCCACAGGGAGTTTTAAATAATTAAAAATATGTTCAGGTCTCAAGTCCAAAAAAGCCGAATTATTTTACTTTAAAGATTTCTGAAAACTGAAAGCTACTGAAAGAACTGGTTGAAGATTCTGAAAACCACTGTTTTTTTTCTGTTTTCTCTTCCTTTCAAACTGGTAAAGAATCTTAAAAATTGGATAAATAATATGAAAGTTATGATAACGTAAACTACGTATCATAATTGAAGTGATATAATGAAACGGTAATGCATATTTAATCTAAATTTAATAGACACATTAGATGCTTATTTTACTCTCAATATTTCCCATTTACAAGCTTATAAAGATGTTTATGCTCTACTTCGACCCCTTCTTACCTATCCTCGTGTGTAACCATTGCCAAGGCAGCTTCCAGATACTTATAGTAAATGGCGTAGTCGATAGCGCTCATATCCGACTGGTTGTACAGCAATTTACATTTCATCGACAACAGCAATACTATAGCGTTTGGTCTGTTCTCCATCGTTGCCAGATGCAGTGCAGTGTTCTATTTAAATAAGGAAAAAAATAAAATAGAATTGTTATTGGAAGTAATAGGTTGTTATTCTTACGCCATCCTTATCTGTTTGATCGAGCAAATGCGAATGCACCGAGAGCAAGAGTTCAATAGTTTGAGTATATCCGTTCATTGCGGCTAAGTGTAGAGGATTTCTGCCGTTATGATCTCTGTGAAGAAGTGCGCCTCTGTTTAGTAATAATTGGACAACTCTTGTGTGGCCCTAAAATCAAAATTCAATATTAATTAAGATTATATTAGTAGTGTCAAAATTATACTAAGAGGACATATTTTTTTTATTATTTTGATATAATATAAAAATAATTACACTACTGTAGATGATAGTAATTTTTGATTTGTTCTCTTCTTCTCTGTCCCGAATACCAGAATAACTATTAAAATATCGGAAAAAATTGCGTAAAAAAATTAAATACGAGTAATTGATCCTATTTCTCCACAATCACAATAAGAGCTCTAGTTTACACGTCAATCCTATTTAAATACACATAAACTAAGCAATGTCCACTTCTGATTCTTGAATTATATATTAATTTTCTGCCAAAAAAAATTGGGAGATTTCTTAAACCAGCGAAATTTATATGGCTGTTTCATTATCTTCGAGTATATCTTCCCTTTTTCCTTAGATCAGTCTTTCCATTGATCTTTTCATTAAACAATAATCTTTAATTACTGGAATTACCTCACTATTCCAACATTTTACTTCACGAATTCTACAATTCTTCCTACCTATATTGGCTAAATTAGGTTTGGAACCCAAACATCTTCGACAATTGACAGCTCATGTAACGCACGCTTATATCTTACATATAATAATTGATGTTTACTACAAATCAGTGACATGTGAGCCATTATAGAATACAAATTGAACGGAAATAGTGGAAAAATAGCATATCGAAATCTATAAAGATATTAAAATATGTAGAACATACTTCAATTTAAATGCAGACAAATTATAACGATTAAATTACAACAACTCTCAAATTAATTGGTCTTAATCATGGCAGATTATTCGGTAAATCAGACAACCGTCCCACAAAATTGACAAACACTGACATTACTTCACTTCCGTATGCTATCAGCTAGCCGTATCAGCTAGTTTGAAGTAAATTAAATGTCATATGGAGACGTTGGAGAGGTGGCAAAGTTTAAATACCTAGGCTGTTGGATTAACAAACATATCGATCCTTCATGCGAAATAAGATGTCATATAGAACAAGCAAGAAATAGATTTCAGAAGTTTAAGTCGCTGCTCTGAAATAGTTCAATAAACATCAAAATACGGGAGAAGTTTACAAAGTGTTATGTGTGGTCGATTCTTTTGTATGGATGTGAGATGTGGACACTTAAAAAAGAAACGATAAATAAAATCGAAGCATATGAAATGTGGACATACAGAAGAATGCTTAAAATATCTTGGACCACCAGAACCAGAAATGAAGAAGTTCTTCGAAGAATGGAGCATGTCAGACTACTTCCGAATATTATAAAACGAGGAAAACTTGAATACCTTGGCCATAACCAGCGGACATCGATTGAGTTTCTCCGACTCATCCTTAACGGAAAAATCGAAGGAGAGAAGCGGATTGGGTGCAAGAGGCTTTCGTGGTTGAGGAACTTGCGGCAATGGACGGGCTTGAGCGCGGATGAATTACTCCATGTGGCGCAAGATCGAGGGCGATACAGAGATATTGTTAACATGGCAGTCGTCAACGTTCACTAGGAACATGACACTTGAAGAAGATAAAATGTCATATAACTGTGACATAAATATAATGTCACAAATATTTGATGAATTAGGTACCAGTATTTTTTCAGTACTTATGACAGTTAAGTCTTATTGATACACAAAAATGTAAGAAGGTTTATACTACAATACTTTACCTGCTTTGACGCAATATGTAGCGGTGTCATTCCTTCTCCATCGCTTTCATTAATAATGAAATTGCCTTTTTCTGAGTCTAGAAGTTGTTTCACTGTATTGTAGCGACCATACCTAAAGGTAAAAAATAAAATAAATTCAAAATAAGTGAAGTTGGCCAGCTGGTACCCTATAAGCGGTGCTTTCTACACTTTGGTTCAACTAAAATATTATTTTTTATAATTTTACTGAAAATTATTATAGTCATTTCTGACTATAATAATTTTCAGTAACAAAAAGACTGTTAGAACTTCTACAATAACATAGATTTAGACATTTTAACTCTTTTTTTCTTTATTCCTTTTGTTTCTGACAATCGGGGAAATATACTTCCCCAAATTTAGGAATTATTCTTTTACGAGTAAAAAGTCACTGGCAAGCTGAATTTCCTTTAAAAAATGCCTTGCTGCTTTCCACATAAATGTGCTTTTATTTATATTTAACGTAGTATAACTTTTAAACTAATAATTTAAACAAATTTATTTAGGAAACAAATATTTAAGGAGTAACAAACATTTTAACAAAGTACAATATACTTAAGCCAAAACTAATATTGTTATTTTATTTTTTCCCCAACATTTTTCAGTAGATTTCGTTTCTATAAATAGTTCCTATCTATAAAAAGTTACAAAACTGTCTTAAAACACTTAACTTTGGAATAATCTAATATTAACTCAAAGAAATTAGTATTTTTCTTTTCAGTTTCTTTTAAGATTAAACCCCTAATATAAAAAGCAATATAAAATTAATATAAAAACTAACTAAACCTATTACACTAACAACTTCGCAAGTCCTTTTAAAGGACTAAACTTTACGACCTTATATTATGTTCCAGCTTATAATACACCACTCAGCACTCAGCAAAACGCTCAAACTTACCTCGCCGCAAAATGTAAGGGACTCTCGTTATTGTTATTCTTCAAGTTGATACAAGCGCCCAATTTTATTAGGTTCTCCAAACTTCTGATGTGCCCTTCTCTGCTCGCGTAGTGCAACGGGGAACAACCGGTAAGGTCCTTTTCATTCAGGAGTTGTAGAAGGCTCTCGGTGGTCTTGGCCTAAAGGACAATTTAGTTGGTTTTTAGAGAAGTACGAACTAGAGATTATTGGTTTTTCGATAAGAGATGTTTCAATTTTATTAGAGTTTCAGGTGCAGTATAAAAAAGTTATAGATTTTAGTTTATTGGAACTGTATAAAAATGAAGTTTGTAAAGATTAATGCTACATCTGTTCGTTTAAGTAGTATTGTTATCTATGTTTAAGTATAAGTAGGTAATAAAGGCATAATAAAAAATATTAAAGGTATATTCACATATGTCTGTAAAGTTCCAATTTAAAAGTATAAGTAGGTAATGAACGAATAAATAAAAAATATTAAAGGTATATTCACATATATGTCAGTCAAGTTTCAGTTTCTTTGCCGTAACGTTAGAAACGTTAGTAACGCTAAAAAACACGAAAAAGAATGTCGACTATAATTTACCCTGTATAATATTTAATTAATTTTTAAAATAATTCTAAGAGGGCAAAACTTGAAACAAAAAAAAACAGATATTTTTGACATAAAATTGAATATGAAGAAAAGTTATACAGATTTTGTTTTGTATTTAAATTAAAACATTCTTTGTGTTTGAGCACACTAAGTGAAAAAATCTAAAACTCCAAAACATATGTGTGCACGATTGAATTATATGTTATGATGTGAAAATATTTATTTTAATAGTTTAATAGTATAATATCGTGCAATTGACTGAATGCAAAATTTGTAAAAATAAACACAACCACAAAGTCTAGGGTTTAATTTTTGCCTATATTTTTATTTTGTAGCTGCGAAAATCCATGAATTCTTTCAAATACAAAAAATTCACAGTCCTTTACAAAGATGCAACCACTGGGGGGAGGGGGCATTGAAATGATGAATAAAAACGTAAAAAATATGATTAGTGTTAATATGAGTATATTACATACATATGTTTAAATAATGAACTTAACAAAAAAAAAAACAGATTTAAAGATTCACTGAAAAGTAGTAATGTTAAAATTAAATAAAACATTATCAATAATAATTATGCGATCGCACCTATCCGTAAAACAAACAAGCAAACAAAAAAGAATTCTTACGGAAAGTTACACTTTACGATATAATTTTTTTAACTGTTAAAGGCAAACCCATTTAAACACAAACCTTTTATTACTACTACTGTATCTAAAGACATTTTTTTTTAATTACTAAATTCTTAGCTACGCTTCTGTTTTTCTTGGCTGTTGTGCGTCACGTCACAGATTAACAGGCCCACGTTTGCACCACAAGGCGTGCTGCAGACCACTAGGTAGACCGGTCGTAGAAATTTATGTTATACAACTTGTAGTCAATCTACACAAATATTATCAAAAACTTTTTTTCTTTTAAAAATGTGTTCAGATTTTGTAAAAAGATAAGTCAAAATCGCAAAACTTAAATTTGATATGAGTTTCTTAGTTTTTAACTAATATAGTGGCGAATTACAAAAACTCCTTTTCAATGAAAATTAATGAGTTAAATAAAATAATTTAACAAATTACTAGCTTTTTCTCGCGACTACGTTCGCGTTACACCTCGAATCGTTCATGCATTGATTTAAATGATTTTTTACTTCTTTATAGAGACTAGTGAGCAAAGATGCTTAGCTACGCTTCTGTTTTGACTACGTTCGCGTTACACCTCGAATCGTTCATGCATTGATTTAAATGATTTTTTACTTCTTTATAGAGACTAGTGAGCAAAGATTCTTAGCTACGCTTCTGTTTTTCTTGGCTGTTGTGCGTCACGTCACAGATTAACAGGCCCACGTTTGCACCACAAGGCGATGCTGCAGACCACTAGGTAGACCGGTCGTAGAAATTTATGTTATACAACTTGTAGTCAATCTACACAAATATTATCAAAAACTTTTTTTCTTTTAAAATGTGTTCAGATTTTGTAAAAAGTATAAGTCAAAATCGCAAAACTTAAATTTGATATGAGTTTCTTAGTTTTTAACTAATATAGTGGCGAATTACAAAAATTCCTTTTCAATTTTGTTTTCAATGAAAATTAATGAGTTAAATAAAATAATTTAACAAATTACTAGCTTTTTCTCGCGACTACGTTCGCGTTACACCTCGAATCGTTCATGCATTGATTTAAATGATTTTTTACTTCTTTATAGAGACTAGTGAGCAAAGATGTTTTTTATTTTTCATCTTTTTTTATTTATTAAGAGCACTAATACTCTTTATAGGTTATTTTTTATTCTTTGAAGGATAATTGAGGAAGATATATTTCGTTATGATGTCACTAAATAAACCCTTGTATAAAATTTTATACTGTCTGGTTTATAATGAAATAATATTGCATTTTCGTACAGCAAACTTTCATTCACTATTCTACTCCCTAAGGGTATCAATTTCATAAATCCGCTTTACCTTTGTGCCCATTTTTATGTGTATAATCCAGAGGTCACCAAGTTTTATATAAATTTTTACTAACTTTACCCATTTGGTTGATGAATTTCAAAAATTTCTTCTAATTGTTTTTTGTAGGATTTCATTCTTTCTTCAGACCAAATAGTAGGAATTTTCATACAACAAACTGTTCCGAGATAATTTTACTCTCTAAGAGGGATGAATTTCCTAAAATCGCTTTGTGTAGCTAATTCACTAATGTCGTTTAAACGAACCCTTGTGCTAATATTTATGTATGTAAAGCTAGCGGCATGAACTCACTCTAAAAATATCTAAAAACGTAATATATAATCTAACTGACACACCACTGACAATGACAAATAATTTATTTCTGGAGGTATTGTGTAGGTGTTTTTCAGATATGTTTTAGTATTTAGTCGTTTTACACAAAGAAATAGCCATTAAGCACTATAAAAATACTTCATAACAAATCTATACATATATACCTTTTATTTAAAAAAAGAATCATCAAGATTGGTAAAGCGGTTTCCAGGCGAGATGGATGCAACAAAAAACCCTTTGAGCTTTTATATGTATGGATTAATTATTTTCCAACATATTTTACTTGGCAAATTTTTATAAATATTCAGACTCGCCAATATCGTACTCCACCGTGTCCAGCCTGTTTAGCCAAACGTAGGCCGATTCCTCTTCGGCGGCGTCGTGACCCTGGCCGAGGAAGAGTCTTGAAGACGCTCATCCGCGCATAGGAATAAGTTGACTGCGTAGCGTGTTGCGTAATTAATCGATTCTGAAACTTTCTATCTCGTGTATAACATGTTACGCAAGTTTATTATTTTAATATCGATTTTAATAGATAAATGTGTGAAATGCCACCTCAATATCTTCCGCCATGACATGTTTTTTACTTTTTGTTATGGTAAAGTGATTTGGTAAACAAGCTTATTCAATAACGTATATTTTCCTCCATTTGGTGATTTTTTAATTTTAAGCGAAAATAAAGTATAACATTTTAGGAAAAAAGAAACACTGTAATATTAAAAAGAACAAGAAGAAATTAGTCTTATTTTTGAAAGGAAAATATAGAAAAACTCTTTCTATAGAAAAAAGTCTTTATACTAACCAGAATCCGGTGACATATACGCGGTCTCACCGGAAACATTACTTATTACTTCACATAACTTGAAGAATATCTACTTTTAATAATGAACACTTCAGAAATACACCAGTAAAAACATTTATTATTTGAGATTAAAACTCGAATTAAATTATAAATATTAGTTACCTATGTTGTTATAGCTTTTATAGGCCTGTTTAACGACTTAATAAGTTACCACTATTGTTACAGGTTAATTCGTTAAAGAAATATGTTACACAAGTTAAAAACGCTAAAATTTTAATGGTATTACTTGTGCATTATTGGCCTTATAATGTAATTTGTTGGAATTATATCTTCTTTAAATATAATTAGACTTTTTAACGACTTTTAAGTTACCTAGGAAAAATCTGTGCACGTACCTACCAGTATTGTTACAGGTTAATGCGTGAAACAAATGTGTTACATATTATTCGTAGTATTAGTGGTATTATATTGGAATCAGCTTTGTATTAGTGGGGCATTATATGAGAAATTTTGGAATTTAATTTGTATTTTTGGCATTACTTTGGCATTAGTATACAGACATTTGTCAGCGGTTTACTCCTTGTAGATCATCAAAAAGTTTTTTGATAAAATTTGCTTTTTATGTCAGATCATTTCTATGAAAAATTACATTAGATTTTTATTAAAGACGCTGGGTAATTAAAACATTGACTAATAAAGCTTGTCCACTTTAAATATGGGGTCACGAAATATCCTCCTTGGAGTGTTTGGGTTAAGGGGTGTATAATAAATTAATCGTTGTTAATAAAAACCATAAAACATTTATTTGTGAGTAAAATAATGCAATGGTTGGATATCTCTCCTTTATAATTAGGTGACTAAAAATACACTAAAATACTTATTTAGTAATTACGTCAATATTAATTAATTGACTTTCTAGTCTATTTTATTTTATGTACAAATATATTATTAAATTTTAAGCATTAAGTAATAAAACACTTTGTGGCCCTCTTATATCGTAAGAGGTTACGAAATATACTCCTGGTTACACCCCTTACAGAAAACAGTGTAAGGGGTGTAAATAAATTGTATAATCACTGTTTTTTTATAATAAAAACTATAAAACATTTCTTATTTGTGAGATTAAAAAAACAAAACAATGCATTGGTTAAAATAAGTACATTCAATACATATGTATGTGTTATAACATAATATAGCCATTAGTATTATACTATTATTATTAAAATAATGTGTGTAACATATTTCTTTAACGAATTAACCTGTAACAGACATTTATATGCCCAGTATATTTTTGTTTAACAAACCAATTAGGAAAAATCCAAAACCTACCGTTATAGGAGGTATAAGATGATTAAACTTATATAATGACAACTACTTATCGGATAACAAATTAATTACTACTGTCAGCTAGTTCAGCTACTGTCTAGGTAGAATATACCTAGAGTACCTACACCTACCTATGATGTAGGGTAGATTAAAGCTTATTTTGACGTTACCTCTCACTTCGGTGTCATAAGCTGAATTTTCAGGGATGGAAGTACAGTACATGATATGGGGACCCTTATTCGAAAGTAGTACAAAATTAGACCGGGTAAAAGGGCACTATCATCAAAATCGATATATTAATACCACCGTATATAGAAAACAAATAATACTATTTTTTGATCCAGTACACAATAAAGTCTTCGTAGGGGAGTAATTTTTTATATTCATTTACGAAAAAACTTTTATTTCCATTAGTGCTTATGACCAAAAAAACTTTAAACATGAATAATCATTTCAATCATGCGAAAATTTGGTTTAAAAATAGATTTTTTAATATAACTTTCATTTAACGAAAAACGAAGGCCTAAATTAAAAAAAAAGAAACAATTTAAAAGTTTCGCTTATGTCTTGACAAGGTATCAAAGCAAACCCCATATTTTTTGCTTTTAAACTAATAAAGATATATCAATAAGCAATTAGCGATGTAATGGTTTTTGCGCGCGCTGGCCGACTGCCGCCGCTGCGCCGAGATTTCCTATACCCTTGTATATATGACGTCATGGTGTGGCAAATGTAGCATTTTAATTCGATTTGGGCTCCCTTATATAGGATAACAGAAACATTTTCAATGTTAAAAGAACACCTTATCGCTATTTCAGTTTGTTTACCTTTACTAAGTGCGTCTATTTTGCTGCGTTTTTGCAAAACATAAATAAAATATTTTTAAGTGAAATTTATGGTACATTTTGTGTACGTATACTTGAAAGCTAATCCCTCTACTTTTATTTTTGAAACATCAGTGTATTATTGTTAACCATGCAGCGTAGGCATTTAACTGGAGAAGAAATTATTAGAGCGGTTGGTCTTTTGGACGGTGGTATGAGACAAACTGATGTTGCGAGAGAAATGGGTACTTCAGAAAGCGTGATATCACGTCTTTGCTCACGATATCGAGAAGAGGGTGATGTGGCAGAAAGGCACAGGGGACGTGGGCGTAGTACCAACCCAGTACAAGAGCGATTTCTGCAACTTAATGCTCGGAGACATCCCAATATTACGGCTCCTGAGCTACAAATAATGGTGCAACAAGTTCATGGCATTGTCATTTCGGATGATACTGTGCGTAGACGTTTACATGAGAATGGCCTTCGCAGTCGACGCCCTTTGAGAGTTCAACCTCTTTCCTGGGGCAATCGAGGTACTCGACTTCAGTGGACACAGGAACCTTTAATTTGGCAAAATGAAAATTGGGCTACAGTCCTTTTCACGGAGTCCCGGTTTGGCATACATCCTGATTCAAGAAGGGTTCGTGTCTGGAGAGAGCCTGGTAATTTGATTCGCCTTCAAAATGTTCAGGAGGTTCACTCTTACAGAGGAGGAACAATAATGGTCTGGGGTGGAATAAGCATCGTTGGTATAACTGACCTCATTTTGTTGGAGAACTTTTTAACGGGTAGGTCATATGTTGATCAGATACTTGGACCTCTTGTCATTCCATATGCGGCAGCTATGGGTCCCAATTTCCTATACATGCATGACAACGCCAGACCTCATACAGCTAGGATTGCAATGGACTTCTTGGACGACAACAATATCGATGTTTTACCGTGGCCATCGCAATCTCCAGATTTAAATCCCATTGAGCATGTGTGGGATATGTTGCAACGAAGGGTTTTACATATGGGAATACCAAGAGACAACAGAAGAAATCTTTTTTTAGCTCTACAAAATGCCTGGAATAACATACCACAGCCTGACATCGATTGTTGAATGACAGTTGTGAATAACAGAGGAGGTCATACAACTTATTAAATAAACATTTGTGACACAATAAATAATGTGTTTGCTACTTAATTAGTTAATAATTTTTTATGTTTTTTGTTTTCAAAAGTTTAGTTTTGGATTAGTATAAAACAATATTTTGTATAAAATTACTTTATTTTATCCCACAAAACACTAAAAGTTTATAAAAAGAAGAAATCGAACAAAAATGAGCTATTAGAGGCAATTTTGAAAAACTATCCCTAGATTTTGCGGTTGTGTGTATAATGGAACGCATTGAAAGATACAGTTTATTCAACGCTAAAGGATACAAAACGCAAAGAAATACATTAGGTATTATTGTAGTATTACTGTACTTACTATACGGGGTGGTCCAGACTGTATTCCGGAAACTTAAGCAGCATATTATTCTGCGAATAAAAATAAGTAAATAAGTTCGTATAAATGTATGTCCTTAAATGCTTAGTTTCGGAGATACAGAGTGTAGAATTTTTAATTCGATTTATTCCATATAATTTCTGAAGTAACGTCAATAAATGTATGTTCGTATAATGTAGGTGTAGAAGTTTCATTTTTATTTCGATTTTTTCCAAATAATTTCTGAAGTAACATCAATATATGAATGAAAATTGGTGTCTGGGAGTTTTTTAATATGGAAAATTTGATTTTGATGTCAATAAGACTCCCTATTTGTAGAGGACGCCACCTAAATGTGTTTTAACTGTTTAGAGGATTAATAACCTTTCGTCCGTATATATTTATATGACGTACCTGTATAAAACGACTGTGTCAGTCGTTTTATACAGAGTATATAAGACTGTGAACAGAGCATTACAGGTTTATATATATGTATATAAGACTGTGAACAGTCACAAAAAATATCATAAGAATAGTCAAAACATATCATTATTGGCAAAAATAGTAGAGAGTACAAAAACACAGTAGACAGTTATTTGACTGAAATAATAAATTTGTAAAATTTTTTATTTTTTAAATTAATCAAAAATTTTTCTGCGGAAAAATGATGATAAAACAGTTTCTGTTGAACTTTTGGCACAACAACATTTCAAATTTATGGTTTCAGTCTAATAACTATTTAGTCAACATATGTTTAATTTATGTCAATAAATACAGATATTCACAAGTTCGATTCCAAATATCTCGAGACCCGTTACTCGTAGCAATTTTTACTAAGAGACCGTTTTACGTAAAAAAATGTTGTAAATGTATATTTTTACTCAATAGTTTTATACCGGTACGGACGAAAGTTATTACTCTTCAAAACAGTTAAAACACATGTAGGTGGCGCCCGCTTACAAATAGAACCCATATTGACATCAAATTGAAATTTCTCATATGAAGAAACTCTCAGACACCAATTTTCATCTATATATGGTTACTTCAGAAATTATTTGAAAAAAATCGAAATAAAAATGAAACTTCTAAACCCTGTATCTCCAAAATTAAGCATTTTTGGACATATATTTATATGAATTCTTTTACCGAAGTTTCCGGAATACAGTTCGAACCACCTTGTATTATATTATAATACTGTAAAACTACTGTTCTAGTGCATGCTCCCTGTATTTGTAATTGTTGAGAAATAATAAAAGTTACTATCATCTATCACCACTAAATATTGCCGTTTGAAACCTACTATGCAATATATTAGATTGTGCTTATAGCAATATATTAGATTGTGCTTATTAAAATATGTGATTCTAGTTGCATTTTTAAACTATATTTAAATCAGTGCATTAGAATCACACTTACCGTAAATACTCGCAGTAAATAAAATGTATAAACTCATCATATAATTTTTAATATTTCTTTAGTTAAAACAAAAAAAAAAATTAAAAAGCACTTTTTTCTTTTATGACATTTTTTTTTATTATTTATGTATTCTTTTTATTTTAGTATTATTTTTATTATTTATGTATTGCTCTAATAAATTACTACAAAACAAAATGTAGTGAAAATTGAGAACATAAAAGATAAAATTAGAGACAACCCTACTACAATCGTTTATACAATTTAAGAAAAAAAATTCCGTGCTACATTTCTCTAAAGGTTTATGAAATATATCGTGTTTCAAACTGTCTATATTTTCTTTCTATTCTATAAAATTACATGTTACCTAAGATTTTGTGCCATTACTTGATATTACAAGCGCTAAAATCTAGTCTACTGCTTAATTAAATCAATAAGATGTACTGTTACCTTCTAACTAGTCTTACAGCATTGTATTAAGGGGAAAAATAAAGAAATATATTTTTTTCAGAGAAATATAAACAGAGAGGCCAGTTTTTGTGTTAGAGTCATAATATTTGAAATTATTATAATTTTAAAGCTTTACTGAACACTAAAACAACTTATAAGATGTTAGATATTGTCATATCAAAATTAGAAAAATTATTGCTCAGTCAGTAAGCTTCATAGACTAAAAGAGTTCAAATTTTGACTAGTATTTATTTGGTTTTTATTTCTTTGAGATCATTTTCTTGTTAAAATAAAGTTATAATAAGCAACTAATCTAATCAACTACTTACCTTACTCACTTCAGCAGCAAATTGCTCTAATCTTCCTCCATTCATAACTACCAAATGGAGAACATTCCTTTTGTTGATGTCTTTTATGTTGATATCTGCTCCTAGTCGTATTAATGTGTGAACCTGTTTAAAAATAAAAATAAATCCATTTAATAATACAAACACACCTTCAACTATTTAAAAAATATATCGTATTTGAATAGTTTCTTTCTAATTTTTTATTAGGGTTTCTTTGGACCTAATTCTTGTATTGATAAGCAAATGTAATGGTGCTTAAACCTTTAAAACAAACTCAAAGACCCTCGCTGTCATGGCTAATTTTGATGCGTAAAATACTTTAGTATACAAATACCTCTAGTACTATTAAAAATTTTTATGATCACGCGTGCTTTGCTCGATGATACAAACATAGTATATAAGTAGTACTTATATATGCACTAAGTATTACTGAGTAGTAGCTGAGATGCAATATGTACTAAGATGTACTTAGTATATAACTTATAAATTGTTATTGAAAATTACAGTGCAGTTATTCAGATGAGTTGATTTATGTCCCAGTTGACTACGGTCGCACAGGAAGTCGTTTAAATGTCGACAAGTAGATGGTCAAAAAAAAATTCTTTGAAGCTTATTAATATTTATGAAAAATATGAGTGTAGTATATAGCACACACAGAATTCGAAACAACGGAACTGAATCTTTATCGTATTTTTTAGTACTAAGATTAGGTTATTAGGAGCAGATATTTGGTTTCTTAAATCATGCAAAGCCAATTCAGTTTATCCTAGTTTTATTAAAGTTGATATTCCGAAAAGTAACGTCAGTGATAAGGTAGAGAAAATTGCAAAACAAAAATGGCTTGATTTAGAAATCAAATTTCTGTATAGTAAACGAAGTAGGTTTGAAATTGAAGCCTATGGACTTTACAAAAAACTTATTTATAAGCTAACTAATGTAGAGTATGAATGTTGGTGTCTCTTTCAGAGAAATATGTTTGTGGTTATCAATTCAAAATTTGTTAAGAAAATGTCCATTTTGAATAGTAAGTTTAAAAAATTAAAAAGCTTTAAAAACAACATTTGATAAACAAGAGCTCAGTTTATTAAACAAAGGTTTAACGTTTGTATTGCCCAACTCTGGTAGCGCTTTGGAGGAAATCGTCGTTGGTGTTGAAACTGCTATTCAGCACTTGCCCGAGGCTTCTAAAGTATTTACAAGAGAGGCTTGTAGAAATCAGTTATCAAAAAATATCGTTTCAAGTAAATCATTAAAAATCTAACAAGGAGCACAATATTGTCCAGAGTTTGCGTAACAAAGATTGTTTCTACCTAAAAGCTGATAAAGGAAATAAGGTTGTTATATTAGATAAAAAGACTATTACGATAAGGTTAACAAGTTAATCGATAATGGCCCCCTACATAAATTTGAAAAAAGAATCTTTGTGTCTAAGATGGTAGCAGACGTTAAAAACTCTAAAAGAATGTAACACCCTTATTGATCTTTCTTTAAAGAGGAAATTGCAAGTATCCAATCCATCATTACCAAAATTGTATGCTTTGCCAAAATTCATAAACCGGACAAAGTCTATACGCCCAATTGTTTCGGCTGTAGGTTCTCCGACTTATAATTTGGCAAAATGGTTATCAAGGGAGTTCGAAAATTTACCTGATCATGAACCTTCTTTCGCAGTTAAAAATAATATTGAATTCATTAACAAAATTAAAGATATAACATTGCATGAAGGTGAAATTTTGGTCTCCTTTAATGTATCTTCGTTGTTCCCAAGTGTTCCAATTCCACATACTTTAGGCTACTTACTGAACGCAAATGGTCTCGACAACAAAACTGTGACTGAATATATTGAGCTTACATCGTTATGTATGAAACAAAATTGTTTTCAATTTAATAACAACTTTTTTAAACAGCGGGAAGGTACAGCAATGGGTAATCCATTGTCTCCATTTTTGGCTAATTTATTCATGAGCAGGTTTGAAGTGGAGGCTAAGAATCAGTTTGAGTATTTTCCAAGAGTATGGTTTAGGTATGTGGATGATATTTTTGCTGTTTTTGACACACATTCAGACACCATAGATAATTTTATTTCTAAGTTAAATTAAATTAAAAGTTATTAAATAATCGTTTTCCTTCCATTAAATTTACGCATGAAATTGAGAACAACGACAGATTACCATTTCTAGATGTATTAGTTATTAGAAATGCTAATAATTGCCTGGAATTTGATCTATAGGAAAAGTACGACCACACGCAGATATATTCCTAATGAATCACATCATAGTGTTGAACATAAAATGGCTAGTTTAAATTTCTTAGTTCATAGATTACATAGTTTCCCACTTTCCAATGAAAGATATGAAATAGAAAGAGATTATATTAGGAATGCAGCTGAGTGTAATGGATATTCTCCTTCACTAGTTGATAAATTAATTAGAAAACTTAGGTATAGGTTAATTATTTCTGAAAATTCGACTTTTTCAAGTGGAGAAAGATACGTCTAAATATTTTTTCGATACCTGATTTTGATAGAGAGTTATCCGTGGTCTAAAAGGATTTATTAAGAATGTCAATTATAAACTTGTGTATAGTGCTAATAATAAATTACAACAATTATTAGGTAATCCAAAGGATAAAAACACCTCCACTGGAAAGGTCGGGTGTTATGAAATTTCTTGTAAAGATTGCAATCAGAAATATGTTGGGCAAACTAGAAGATCAATATTAACTAGATTTAAAGAACATTTAGCTCAGATAAGATATAGTAGACCGGATAAATCTTGCGTTGCCGAACATATTGTTGATAAAGAACATTGTATAGATCTTAATAATTTAAAATTAATTAAACAAGTCTCAAATTACAGGCAATTAGATGCATATGAAAGCATCAGAATTAATAAATGTAAAGATAGTATGAACAGAGACAACGGTCCAATTCCTCTAAGTTCTTTGTTCCTACTACTTTAGTGGCGGAAATCTAACTGTTACGCTCAGTTGGCTCTGACTCGGTTGGCTAGATTTTGCCACGCCCACTCGGTGCCCACTGGGCGAGTATATAAACGCTCAACTTGTAGATTGTACTTTAGTTTATAATTATCTGCTGATGATGCTAACATGGTTAGCGAAACGCGCGTCCAGTGTAAAAGTAAAAGTGTTTTGGTGCATTGTGGTGATTAAGGCCGAGTACCAAAATAGTGTTAGGCATTAATGCGCCTCGTTCTTTAATTCTAAATGCAAGTTTTTCAAACAAAAAATTAAATTGGTTTGTATCCACCCTTAGTTTTTTTGTAATATATAGAATGTTTTAACTATAGATTAGGTATTAAATTATTAGATGCTCTATAGTGCAGAACTACTTATGATTATTAGGTTGACCTATATTCTTCTTTTAAATCTAGTTTTTCAATTGCATTGCCAAAATTTTGGCAGTTTGAAGTACAATCTTACGCACTTTTCAATCAACTAACAGAAACTTTTTTGATATCATATATGTAAACACTGAATATTCAAGTCAGTTGAATCCCTGTGACTTGATCAGTTCACCTGAATCAAAAAACGCGTCTTTAAGATTAAGCTCATTTGACCTGAAAACTTTTTAATTATATGGTATTTTAAAAATTCGACGATTTAATACAGAAAATTCTGTTCAAAGTTATGTTTATTTTAGATAGCTTGTAAACAAAAATGAAAAAAAATGGTATTTAAATATTAAAAATAGGTTTTTCTAGTAGCCCATGATCTAGCTATAAAATTACTTTAATAATTGCAGAAAGTAGGTAGATCATAATAGAACAAACAATAATGGTTAAAAAGTTTTGATATTAAAAAAGCAATAAGTATTTATTTTAGAACAAGGGAACTTTAAGAGAGCCAATCTTAAAATTGGATAAACTTCTTTATAACCTCTGAAATATGATTTCAAATTTTTGCGAAACACTTTTTAGATATTTTATGTTGGTCTATTGCTATACACGTGTTGGAGGGTAATATAGAATACAGGATGCTACAAATTCGAGATACGAGCATTGGTATCTCGGTAACCGTAATAGATACGAACATGGTTAAATTGGGGCGAAGTTGCCCCCGCTTTGGGATGTTCATCAAGATGCCACCAAAAAAGTTTTAAAAATTTAAAAAATTATTAAAATAATAAAAGTATTGCTGAGTTTTTGGAAAAAAACGGATTTTTTTGGAAATCAATTTTATTTTTTCCTGTCGTGCCTTTTTAGAAAATCAATAACCTAATGACACATTCTCATAGACACTTTATTAGGGCTATCTGATAGTATTTTTAGATTTTCAAATTAGCTGATAAATTTGTGAGATACAGAGGCCAACTTAATTTTTTTAAATATGGACCTGCATTTTTTATTTCAGGTTTTGAGAGAACTTGGTCTACTGAGTACAATGATATGCCACACTTTATACTTTTTTTAATGATTTCCAGAAAATCATTAAAATTAATTGATGATTTTCTGGAAAGTTCCTATCATAAACCATTGTCCCTCTCTAAAGCCGAAATTACATTTACGAGTAAGTCGTATAAGAGTAAACGAAAAATAATAATAATTATTTGACTTCATTTATGTAGGTGGCGAGGTCTAGCATACGGTACTCAATCTAACTACCTTAAAAAAATACAAAATACACATACAATACTAATACAATAATATAACAATTTTAATATAATATAAATCTAAATTATATAAACGAACAAAAAAAAAAGACATATAAAACACCCATACATGAGCTTAAGGTACAATTCAATAATACTTTTATAAAGTTAAATTGAAATCAACAAGAGATTTCCTGAAACCTGCCATGGACGGACAGCTTTTAATGTACGGAGGAAGTGAATTGTAGCATTTCGAAGCATAATACGAAAACGATTTTTCAAACAAGGCTGTCCGGTGTTTAGGCACAACATAACTGCTGCGTTTTCTGGTATTAAGGTCGTGGAGGTCAGCTGCCTTAACAAGTATGTCGAACAAATAACGAGGTTCTCGAAATTTTTCTATTTTATAAACTAGTATACACGTATGTATAAAAAGCATACTGTTCAAGTCCTAACCAGCCCGATTCTTTATAAAGAGGAGAAACATGATCAAATTTAGGAGTACCAAATGAATACCTTAAGCAAGAGTTGACAAGTTTTGTTAAGCTTTGTTTGTCCTTGTTAAGTAGAGCTGGCCAGTAGACAGTGTCGCAGTAGAAGACCAATGGAAGAATTAGGCTTTTTACACAAAGGTCAATTTAACATCTCTGTTAAGAAAATCTTTATATAAATATAGTGTCTTTAACTTACAATACGATTTCTGCAAAATAGATGCTTTTCAAATCTGATACATGCTTTTGATGATACATGATTTGATGATACATGATTTGAAAAGCATGATACATGCTTTTCAAATCTCAGTTTAGAACCAAAATAAACCCCAAGATTTTTGCAGTTTTTAGCAGGTGTAATGGTGATATTGTCAAGTACGATATTTAATTTTTGAGAAACATCTGGCGAGTTCTTACCCACAAAAATTAGTTGAGTCTTATTAGGGTTTAAGAAAAGACCATGATGGTGTGAAATGTCGTAAATTATTCTCAGATCTTCATTTATTTTGATTTCGGAGGCTTTGAAATCTTTACTCAAGGAACAGTAGACTTGAAAATCATCAGCATACTGATGTGAAGATAAATTTTTTAAATACGTTTTAAAATCTGCCGTATAAATAGAGAACAGAAGTGGACCAAGAATACTGCCCTGAGGAACACCACGATCTACAGGCAATAAAGTCGAAGGAGAATCTCTGATAAAAACTCTCTGTTGTTGACCAGCCAAGTAACACGCCATGAGTTTCAGTGAACATTTGCATTTACATATGCAAAATCGTATACATTTCGCATATGTAAATAGGAACTCGTAGATCGTATACGTGTTTGTTTCAAAGCTGAGTGAGATCCGATTTCATTACGAGTACCGGTTTTGTTTATTGAAAAAAATGGCGGCAAATAAGTTATCGCCGGAGGATATTGATGGATTTATAGATCTTTACCAGAATATGAAGTGTTTAGGGGATATAAGAAGCAAAGAATATAGAGTTAATAACTCCGTTAATAATTTTTCTTCAATTCCCAAAACACTTCTTGATTGTAAAGAGGCTTTAACCCACACTCGCCTTTTTTAACAATCTGTTAACATTCTATTCTTTTTTTCATTATTAATCCGTTATTAACATTAGAATTCTGGCTATAGCAGCACGCTTTCTTTTACTAGGCGCCATATTTACACAATTTAATGGCATACGATTCTAAATTTAAATGTAAATAAAACTCGTACTCCTATACGAGTACCCGTATACGGTTTACTCGTAAATGTAATTTGGGCTAACACATCATTTTTTATGGAAAGAGTCATTATTACGAATTTTGGTTACCATGACGAAAACTGCCCATGCTAAATATGTCTATATTTTCTAAATTTTCATAACAACACACTTAGAAGTTAATAATAATGTGTTTTATGAGCGGAATAATGTATTTATTGATAGTTACGGAATAATGCGGAATCAACAAAAAAACAATTTATAGCGTGATTTGATTGCGTTGGTTTCAGTGTTTTTGGTTGGGTGGTTATTTATTGGGCGTTGGTTAGATTGGTTATTTTGGTGGTTGCTTTGGTTGGTTAGGTTGGATATTTGGGGGGGTTGATTTGGTTGGTTTTTACAAGGTTTTTACTAATATATTTTTGTTTGTTTTCTTAATATTCACTGATTTTCTTTATTTGTTTGTGATAAATGTATATAATAAATGTAGAGTTTTGGTTAAATAGGGAAATGAAACTACATAACAATTAAAACAAAAATCATTAAAAACTAATACTACCGAAATTGCGCATAATTTGTCCGTATCACATGTCAAAATAAGCATGTTCTGTGGTTCATCTGTGGTCAAAATTTATCCGCAACGTCAAATAGTACAAATTTTTTTATTTAATATTTTAAAAAATACGCGATAATCCACAAATTTTATTATTGAAAACTACTTATTGAGACTGGTCTTTTCATCGGTATTTTTGTCTTTTTTGTTTTCGATGCGCAGTTTTCGACAGGGGACCGCGAATTTTTCATATAAATGCGATGACTGGATTTGGGACCTTAGAAACTCTTCAAATTTAAGTAAAACAGCAAGAGACCAGCCCAAAGATGAAAGAGACAGACGAAACGTAACAAAAATTCTCTATTATAAAGATCGAATTTTGGATAACCTGTACATTTTCTTACCGTTTTCCAACCTCCTCTCAAGGCCGCCAACAACAATGGCGACCTCCTCTCCTTATCCATCGGGTTACAATCGGCTCCTCGCTTATCAGGTACTCAACAATTTCGGGATGATCAAACATGGCGGCACAATGCAACGGTGTCATCTTCTGTACATCACACGATGCCAAACATGCCTGCTTTTCTTCTGGTTGCATTTGGAACATGATTTTCACTATTTCTATAGCGCCTGTAATGATATTAAAGAAAAGAATATGCTTAGTGATTAGTAAAAAGTGCTGAATAGTTATTTATGTTATACCTTGGGCGCAAGCTAGATGTACTGGTGTGGATAGATCGTGTTGTTGTGTGGAAATCTTCGCACCAGATCTAAATAAATATTAAATCCTATTAAAATAAGAAAATATTATAATTTTAGTTACTTTCAACAGGACTGAATGCAATTTTACATAAGTAAAATATAAATAAAGAATTATATTTCTTAAGCTGCGTCAACATTGCTCGCGAGCAGGTCGAACGAACATGTGAAACACGAAAAACATGACAAACAGTCGGTCATCATCATCATCATCATGTAGCCATCGTTGTCCACTGCTGAACGTAGGCCTCCTCCATATTTCTCCATGTCTCTCGATTTTGGGCCGTCATCATCCAATTTCCAGCAATCCTCTTTACATCATCGGTCCAGCGTGTCGGTGGTCTGCCTCTGCTACGTTTATCTACTCGAGGTCGCCATTCTAACAATCTTCTAGTCCACCTGTCTTTAGATGTTCTCGCCACATGACCTGCCCATCTCCATTTCATTCGAGTTACGTGTTCCACTATGTCTTTAATTTTGGTTTTTTGTCTGATAGTGTTATTAGGAATTTTGTCTCTTTTAGTTATTCCAAGCATGGCTCTCTCCATGGCTCTCTGGGCTACTCTTAAATTTTCTGCTGACTTTTTCGTTAATGTTAGAGTTTCCGTTCCGTATGTAATTACCGGCAAGACGCATTGTTCATAAACTTTCCTCTTCAAGCATATGGGTATATCACTTTTAAAGGTCTCCCGCAGTTTGCCAAAAGGAGCCCAACCCAAACCTATTCTGCGCTGTATCTCGTGTGTTTGGTTGTTCTTTCCGATTTGTATTTCGTGCCCGAGATATTTGTATATATGTGTTTCTTTTATGTCGGCGTCACCTATTCTGATGTTCTGTGTCAGCATTAAGTTTGTCATTATTTGCGTTTTACTCGTATTTATCCGGAGACCGACTTTTAATGAGGCCTGCACTATTTCTTCGAGCATCTGCTTTGAATCTCCGATGTTATCTGAGACAAGGACGATGTCATCTGCGAATCTGAGATGTGTCAACCTTTCACCATCGATATTTATGCCCCTATTCTCCCAAACAGTCGGTACATCAAACAAAACAAGTACATCAAAGAGACGCTTCGGAGCCATGCGAGCATCCTAAGTAGCATATGACATATGACTTCGAACTAAATCTGACTTGAAGCGACGTCAGACTTTGTGCAAATTTAGGTCGGGTGCTGGTGATCGGACCGGTGACATCGCTTTCCTATTAAAAGCGACGTCGTTGGATCCGAGTCTGTCGACGTACAAAATTACAACGTACCATTTTCATCCCAACGTCGTTTTCACGTTGGCTTGCACGACGTACATATACTTGAACTAGCCGTCTAGCCCTTGTCCGAATAGGATACGTCTCACTGATAATCCCTAAAGTAAGCAGTATGATGATACTACCATGATTTTTCTTATTTTATTTTGTTGAGAATTACAAATATTTGTGTTTTATTCTTGGATTAATAATATTAAATATACCTTTAATTAAAATATCACTCTATATTTATATTGCCTACTTATCTTAATCTGATCTTTGAGAAATTTATTGACGCATATTTGGCACACGCTTGGTATTATTTTTGAAATGATTTGCTTGGAAACTTTGAATAAATAACACAAACCGGTATGTGGGTCTCTAGTTGCAAGGAATCTTAATGTTATGGCCAATATTTACTTAACTCTTTCTTTAACCGGAATACCCTTCCTAAAAGTTGTATTTTTCTTTCTATACGGGGCCAACTAAGTTAATAAGTCCTTCAAAATCAGTTGCGAACATGCGATAAAAAATATTAAAAACATTCTGCCTGTTTGTAAATCGCGTAGATGTTTACAGCAAAAACAAAAAAAACAAAAAAAAAACAAAAGCGCAAGCAACGCAGGCACAATCGGAAGCAATAGCGCGAGCAGAATCACGAGCAATATGGACGCATCTTTAGGGTGAGTTAACCATAAAATAAAGTTCATTATTACATTTGTTTTGAGAATTATTAAAAAACTGTGAAATAGAAATGTTATAGGAAGGTTAAGATGCTCATTTTAAAACTATTACTGAGCTTACAGGGTGCTTCAAAAGTGTGGCGGATATAACATATGTTTTATACAAAAAATCCTATATGGGTATTTCGCCACTGCAAGAATATCTACAAAATAAAATAAAGATAAATAATAAGGTTTAAACTAATAACTTTGTATATTTTTTTTGCTTCCGACGACGCGCGACGGAAAGAGATAAACTTTCCGAAGCGTTAAGCATTTTTTTGTTCGTTAGGCAGATTTGTATATCTTTAAACCTAACTTCTGACAAGTAGTTTCCGTTTGGGATTAACGCAGACGTGTTTACATAAAATAACTATTTTATTTTGTAGATTTTATTGCAGTGGCGAAATACCCAGAGAGGATTTTTTGGAGAGATGAATCCGCCACATAGATATAGATTTTTTATATGTTTTTTAAAAGCAACACCCTATTTTTTATTTTATTTTTCTATTCTGCGTAAAATTTTATAACTTTTTATATTATACAGGGTGAGTTTCCTAGGACGTTCTCTATGGGTATCTCGGAAACTACTGGAGATAGAGAGTCGGTTAAATAAGGAAAGAATTGCAGTTTTACGGGGTCATAAATATGCGCCTTTCAGATTTTTGAAAAAGTTCATGGCTTACTAGATATTTCGAAAAAAACATATTTCGGCTATTTTAAAAATTGTCCCTAATTCCATTATAAGCTATTTTAGGCAAAAAGATTTCAGATAAAAGTTGTAAATAATCACATCCTTAATGAGACTGTGTCCTTCGTTTTTTTCTAAAGCCTGTCATTTTTGACATATGACACAAACATATGTTTTTTTAAACGGAAACCATAGTTGGCCATGACTTCAGAAAAAGCGCCATTTTTAAGCTTTTCAGCGATATAAGCTATAATGAGTTTTTTTCGAAAATTGCTGAGTTATAGCCAATTCTTATCATTTTAAACAATTTCACTGAGTTAGCCATGGAAACCAGTTTAATCGTCTTTGCGCTCATAAATGTGAAGCTGTGACATTCAAACTTTGTAAATTAAAATAAACAAAAATTACAAATATGATTTTTTCAAATGAAGAAAAGCGTGTAGGATTAACTTTTCTTGACCATAAGTTTTTGAGGATACGTTGACCGGTGACTGTTACGTTTTTTAGAGAACGGTTTTCAAGACATGTTAGAAAAGTTAAATTTAGTTATAGCCAATTCTTATCTTTCTTGACGAATTTCACTTAGATTGCATTATGATTTATAACTTATAAAAAGTCAGAATATATTACTAAACGGTTCTTTACAATTTACATTACACAAACTAAAACTTAAAAAAATTATATCACTACATACACTTTGAGTTATTTTAGAAAATATTAAAAAAATCCGCCATTGTTTTCAGTTGCATCTTTTTAAAACTGAATTACTACCTATTCTCACAGAAGGACCGGTCGACTTAATTAAACTTTTCTCGTACCGCCACTTCTCGAGTGCCTCTCTTAATTCATAAGTTCTTTTGTAAACCTTATTGTAAACTATACCGCATAAAATAATCTAAAATGGATAGGTCAGGTGATCGAGGAGGCCCATGCAATTAGTCCATCTCTTCCTATCCCTGCGTTTGTATGATTATGACATAAATAATTTTTAACATTTCTTTCTTTATGGGGGGTGAGGGTGTGTCATAATAAAAGTCATGTTGGAACCACTCTATTGATGCGCGAGTATCTAAACGCTTTTCTTCATTTGAAAAATTCATATTTGCAATTTTTGTTTATTATAATTTACAAAGTTTGGATGTGACCGCTTCACATTTCTGAGAGCAACGGCGATTGAACTTGTTTCCATGGCTAACTAAGTGAAATTGTTTAAAAATGATAAGGATTGGCTATAACTCAGTAATTTTTCGAAGAAAAGATATTACAGCTTATATCACTAAAAAGCTTATGTTAAAAAAAATATGTTTGTGTCATATGTAAAAAATGACAGGCTTTAGAAAGAAACGGAGAACACAGTCTCATTAAGGGTGTGATTATCTACAACTTTTATCTGAAAACTTTTTGTCTAAAATAGCTTATAATAGAATTAGGGACAATTTTTAAAATAGCCGAAATTTGTTTTTTTCGACATATCTAGTAAGCCATAAACTTTTTCAAAAATCTGAAAGGCGCATATTTATGACCCCACAAAACTGCAATTCTTTCCCTATTTAACCGACACTCTATCTTCAATTTACAGTTGAGGGTTGGAACCTTTGGTGTTACACAGCAAAATAAAATTACACTAAATCACCACAATACACCAAAACACTTTTACTTTTACACTGGACGCGCGATTCGCTAACCATGTTAGCATCATCAGCAGATGATTATAATCATCAGCAGATCAGCAGATAATATCAGCAGATGATTATAATCATCTGCTGATTATGCTAACATGGTTAGCGAAACGCGCGTCCAGTGTAAAAGTAAAAGTGTTTTGGTGTATTGTGGTGATTTAGTGTAATTTTATTTTACTCTATCTTCAGTAGTTTCCGAGATACCCATAGAGAACATCGTAGGAAACTCACCCTGTATAATGTTATATAACTAAAACGAATAGTTTTTGTAATATTTTAATTTGTTTAAAGAAATGTTAGATTTCAGTGTCATACAAAATTGTCAGTGATGCTCCTGATGAATCAGTGAAATTTAAAACCCAATTTTAGTACTCTAGCTAAAATTTGGTATAATTTTATAGACATGAAGAAAGATATATATGTCAAGATATTTGAGTTAGATGCTACAGGGTGTTCTAAATATATTTATAAATTTCGACTATTTAAAATTCAAAAATTATTTTTTTTAAATGGTACTTATTATTTCAGATAAAAAACGAGATTTGGTATGTTAGTATATGACATAAATTAGAATTGATTGACGTAATAAAATTGTTTTTGGCCACTCCCTGTTTCACCGGAAATGACCACAACTTTTGATTTTTAAATAGCACCATCGGTATATTTTTACTTTATTAATATGATTTATTTGAAATTGTAACATTTGGTTCATAACGACAATTTGACTCGAAATACCAAGTGTGTGGTATCAAATTATTCTTAAAAAATACTTTTTCCAAATATGGTAATGAGCCACACTTATTCCATCTGGAAAAATTGAGAAATGATTAAAAATACGATTTGGGCATCTCTTTGGCTAGGAGAAAACAGGAAAAACAATAGACGATCAAATATATTTTTCCAAGGCATCTTGATTAAAAATTAGGGTTTTGACACAACCATGACAGTCTAGATTTAAAATTGAAATACGATTTTTAAGCGAAAATGTCAAAAGTTGCCATAGAATATGTCATTCTATTCGAGTGTCATTTTCTATCGTATAAAAAAAAGTTGTAGTCATTTCCGGTGAAACAGAAAGTGACCGAAAACAATTGAATACGTCAATTAATCCTAATTTATGTAAAATATTAACATATCAAATCTCGTTTTTTATCTGAAGAAATAAAAAAGTTATAAGGGTGAGCTACTTTTGACACGCACCCGGTATATGTTATACATTTTTCTGATAGATTTTACAAAATTCTTCAACTTTTGTTAAGTATGTCATATACCTATTTTTTGTGTATATTTATGAATTTGCTTTTTTTTAATATCACAACATTTTATTCTTTTAAATATTTTTAAAATTTATTTATATAAAAATATTTATATTTTGCTGTAATGGATTAGTGGTGAAAAACTTTGTTTGATATTTTACATCAGTTTAAAAGGTTCGATTCAGAATATTTCAGGCGTTAGTAATATTTCTACTATTTTTATTTTTGTTTATCATCGTAATATAAAAATATTTAAAAAATAATGATTTTTTTTTTTTTTTTTTTTTATTACAAAATATAAAAAACACTAAATTTTAGAACTTCACATTTTTCAGATATCTCTCTAGTAAGCAATTCAGACAAATTATAAAAGCTAGAAGAAAATAAATTGTTATAACACAACCTCGTGCCGGAAGACGTCACACGAGTTCCAGAGAAATCCGGAAAATTGAGAACGAGATAACAGATTTATCACTTTTGACAAATGACTCTTTAATAACTTAAAATTGTTTCCAAGTGGAGATTCCTCGTATGAAGATACAGAAAAGTTCACGTTATGATGCCTTTCAAAAGCTAAATTTAAGGAAACGACAGTTTCTTAAAAGTTTTAAAATATTTTCATAAACTTTAATTATATATTTCACTTTAACATATAATGATTAAAGTATGTCATTAATCACACTGACCTCGAAGACTCTATATGATTTTATTTGTTTTTTAATCTACTTAAAACTTGATATTTCCTACACTATTATACAGGGTCGCTAATACAGAGATTGGGCCACTGAAAACTACAATGGCTAAAATTTTTTAAACCAATAAAGATATCAAAAAAATAAAAAATACCGTTTCTATGATATCGAAGGGGAATACATATGACGTATTTTTTGAACCCTTAAGCTGCACCCCTACTCACTCGAAAATCTTAAATGGCAACACCCCACTTGTGGCGCCTTTTTGGAAAGCCCATGAAATATGCTAAACGATGATCATAACGTTTTTAGGGTGAAATTGAAAAACTACCCCTTACACGAAAAATTAAGTGGACATTAATGAAAAAAAAAATTTTTTCAGCATAGTTAATTTTGGACCCAGCTAAATTAGGCAAATGAGGCATTTTTAAACCACCCCGACGCACTCCTACGTGTCATCCCCTCACTTCTAATCTCATCAATGCCGTTTTTAAACCATTGCCATTTTAAAACTTAAAAATAAAAATGTAGATAATAAAAAGGCAAACACAAAGATGTTTTACTAATCGTTCAGCTTAATTTTGCGATAACGCAAATTCTTCCTTATCATCTATTTTTTTACTTTTTTGTATATTTTTCTTTTTATCGATTTTCAATCGTTTGGAAATTTGGTGGTATTTTAAACGTTTTTTTGATTCGCTTATTTGAAAGAAAAATGGTTTATACTGTGGAAGAAAGAATTCAAATAGTTTTTCTTTATGGTGCTGAAGGTAGGTGTTATTTGAGAACGGCCCGTGCTTTCAATGAGGGAAATCCGGACAAAAACGTAAGTCACGTTTATGTTAGCGATTTGATTTTGAAGTTTCAAGAAACTGGGTCGGTCAAAAATAAAAAAGGATAGGGCCCAGGGTACTGAATGAAGAAATGCAGATGGAAGTTATTGGTCAGGTATCGGTCAATCCAGAAGCATCAACACGCCAGTTGGCATCAATCACAGGTATACCTCGAACATCTCTCAGGAGAGTATTGAAAATGCACAAATTCCATCCCTACAAAATGAAGATTCTGCAGGAACTTGGCGATGACAATCCAGATAGAAGGATTCAGTTGTGTGAACTAATGACGGAGGAAATTCGAAGGGAACCTTCACTCACTAAAAATATTTGTTTTAGTGATGAGTGCTCATTTTTTTAAACGGAATTGTGAATAAGCAGGACTGCAGATACTGGAGCGATGAGAATCCGCATATTGTTGTTGAAGGACACACCCAATATCCCCAAAAGCTCAATGTTTGGTGCGGAATACTAGGCGATAAAATTATAGGTCCATTTTTCATCGACGGAAATTGGATGGTGATGCTTATGTGGAAATGCTGAACAATTTGATAGAGCCAGCCATTGTAAATGAGGTTGAAAATCAAAGAGATTTGGAAAGAAATTTAATTCTTAATGAAAACCTCATACACTTTCAGCAAGATGGAGCCCCTCCGCATTATTCTATTGTCACAAAGCGGTGGTTGGATAGATATTGTCCACGGCAATGGATTGGCAGAAGGGGTCCAATATAGTGGCTGCCAAGGTCACGTGATCTCACTCCTTTAGACTTTTTCTTGTGGGGTTACACTAAATCCATAGTCTAGAAGACAAAACCAGGTTCGTTGCAAGAATTGCGGCAGAGGACAACTGAAGCATGTCAAAATATTCCGAGAGAGACTTTCCAAAAAGTGAGAGAAGAATTTGGAAATCGTTTGTATTTTTGGAACAAAACGGCTCTCATTTTGAGCAATTGTTAAATAAATTATCATTTTAAATTTCTTTCAAATTGTCACACCTACATTTCTTATCACTACTTACCAGTAATTGTTGACAGAAGTTGAAATCTGTATGACCATCGTTTAGCAATTTCAATTAGCTTTCCAAAGAAGTGTCACAAGTGGGGTATCGCTATCTTGAGATTAGAAGTGAGAGGGTGGCACCTAGGGGTGGACCGGGGTGGTTTGAAATATACCTCATTTGCCTCATTAAGCTGAGTCCCAATTTGTAAGTTGTACTGAAATTTCGTTTAACAGTTCATAATGAAAACCTCATAATTCGTTGAATTTAGTTACATTATGTGTATTACGATTATTGCTTAAAATTGAAGGAAGAATTGAAATATGCAATAATAGACAGGGGGTTACATTAAAAAAAATTGATGAGCCACAACCGACCCTATAGATATACTTAAATTTATTACTAGCTACTAGATATTTATAACTAACTATATACACTAGACCAACCCTATAACTTTTCTATTTAACTTTTTGCGGCACCTTGTATATTTTACCTAATAATCGACCGTCACACATAACAGCGACCCTGTATAACACTTTACACACAATACCTTATACATAGCTCCACTGCTCTGATATCTCCACCATGTACGGCAGAATGCAGAGGAACGTTGCCCTCTGCATCGTAGAACGAGATCATTTCTGCCCTAGAACAACCTAGAGATTCACCCCACTGTAAAAATACTTCCATGGTTTTGGACGAGGCATTTTTTGCCGCTTCGTGAATAGGATAATATCCGTTGTTGCAAGGTTTTCTTGGGCTACTCATTGTACTTCGTTCCGTTACGTATTGCTGCTACGTGTTCGAAAGGGCTACAACCCTCCCTCATGTACAAATTTATTTTGCGTTCAATTTTATTTATAGCTCTTTTGAACAAATCTTCTTCTTATGGACGACAGGAACCTCGCTGGCCATTATACTGTTCTACCATTTCAAATCCATCTCCGGGAATGATTTGATTATATTATATTAATAAAAAAAAAAAAATATTTTTGTATTATTTTATTGCATTTGATTTTCCGTATTTAATATTTTACCCCACGTCATTATTAAGTTTGGAAGTTTATCAGTATTGTAATAATGAATAGATTTAATATTAAAAAAAATAGAGCCGGACTTGAAATTAGTTTAAATAAATTGTGTTCAAATGTCCGAAACAAGAAAAAATATTAAGTGTGAACCTCAAATAAAAAATGCGGGTCCGTATTTAAAAAAATTAAGTTAACCTTGTATCTCACAAATTATCAGCTAATTTGAAAATCTAAAAATACTACAGATAGCCTAATAAAGTGGCTATGAGAATGTGCAGTTAGTTTTTATTTTCTAAAAAATAACGACGAAACAAAATAAAACCGATTTTCAAAATCAGTTTTTTTCCCCAAAAAAAACTCAGCAATCCTTGAAATTTTTAAAAAATTTGATGGCATCTTGGTGAACAGGACTCTGTATATTAATAACTGACAAACTGTAATAAATTTATTAAATTATATAAAGTTTAATAACTGCTAAAAGTTTGAATTTGTGTTAAGTATGTTAAAACTACTAAACATTGTTTAACGATCAGTCTTAGTTAACTTACCAAAAGTCTTGCACAGGCATCGTGATCGTATATCGCAGCGATGTGAAGTGCAGTTCGACCGTGTTCACCACCTTGTTGAATATCTATCTTGTCTTTGTGTTTTGACATCGCCTCTAAAACCGTAATTTTGTTGAGCTCCGTTGCCAAATGTACCGGAGCCTGCTTCTTTTCATTGAGAACGTCTGTTTTAACACCACTAAAAATAACAAGAAATATATTTTTTGAATAATTTTGTTCACAATTCGTTAATCTATGAAAGTCACTTTCTTTTTACTTTTGTTATTTAGTGAAAATAAATGATTGGGTTGGTTTAACAAATATCAAATACCGATAAGGTAAAAGTAATCTATGGTTATCAATTCTCTTGTTTATTATCCGTATAATATCCATTTAGATAAAATTATTTGTGATAGAAATCTAATGCCATTATATTAATCAAATAATTTGATAGTTTTTAAAAATGTGTTTTGTAATGTATATGGAGTGAATAATCCGAAATACGATATTTAAGGGACAATTTCTTGTTTTATATTAAGTCTGTTTATAATATCAATAATTAAATTTCATTTTTCATGATAGTTAATCTTTTCATGATCGTTTTGTTAATAATTTCTTATTTTTTTTTCTGAGTTAAAAATTTTTTATTTATTAATATAAAGTTATTTTTTGTAAATCACCACCGTTCAATCATCTAAAGCTAGCTCAGTATCTCAACTAATTTTTTTTTCCTTTTTTTCCTGCTGCTGACTTTGTAAAATAATACAGTTTAACAAATAATACGAGCCCTAACAACTATATGTTGGGACAAGGTCATATTTTGGAATTATTGCCCTGATTTTTCAAAATGACTGAAAAATATATGTTTAATTTTTTAAATATAAACATAGCTATATATCCTTGACAATATTTTTATGAATTTGTAAATCAATCCATATTTACAGTAGCGGATTTTGTTCATAAAAGGACAAATTTGCTGACAACTAAATGTTGGGACAAGTATTTTTAAATAATTAATATCAGGTCTGTTCGTTTTCCTGTTATTATCGATTCTGAATCGTCCTAGAACTCTCCAGCGCATGCGCAAATGAAATAATGTCTTCAAATTTCCTTCTGCGCAGACGCATCACAATTCTAAACGTTACAAATGTCGCAAACTGTTTACTTCAGCATTGACAGCTTGTAAGTGACTCGATACTTTGAGTAGTGAGATTTACTGTAAGAAATTTTAATTTTTTTAATTTTCAATTTTGTTAATTTAATTCAAAATAATGGTCTGTGGAAAAGCTACAAATCAAAAACTACGCGAAATTATCATTCGTCAATACAGTACGGGAAAAACAATTAGAAAAAATTCTGATGATTTAAGTATTCCAAAAACCACGGTCTTTAAAATAATAAAAAATACGGAGAATCTGCCAATGTAGACGTTAGAGGTAAAAGTTCGGGAATGCCAAAAGTTGTATCTCAGAGAGACAAAATGTAGTAAAATTTTGCAAGTCTGCGAGAAGAAGTACTCTTCGTAAAGTAACAGTTAAATGGAATACTGTAACTAGTTTAAATATATCAAGAGAATGTTGCCGAAAATATATCCATAAGTGCAAGGGTTTTTACAAAGGTAAACTTTATTTGTGTGGATAATCCAGTTACCTAAAGATTATTGATACAAATTCTTATTTAGGCGAAAGAAAAACCTGACAGAAATTCAAAGAAAAATCGCTAAAAATTGGGCAAAATCTAAATTATCGTGGACACAAAATGATTGGAATAACGTCATATTTAGTGATGAGTCTAAATTTGATGTTTGCGTTGGAGATCATCGAAAACGAATAATACGAAATAAAGCAGAAGCCTTTCATAAAGATTGCTTGAAGAGGGTTGTTAAGTTTCCTAAGGGGATTATGGTTTAGGACTGCATGTCAGCAAGAGGTTTGGGCAAATTAAATTTTTATAGATGGCATATTAACTTCCAAAAAATGTCAACATATACTTGAGACCTCACTTTTGCCTAGTGCTCTAGAATTGTTTCCAAACGAAGCTATTTTCCAACAAGATGGAGCATCATGCCATTCAGCAAAATCAACTAAAATTGGTTCGGTAATAATAATATAAAAAGTTCTATCCCATCCTGCAAGTAGTCCGGACCTCAATGTTATAGAAACTGTGTGGCATAAAATGAAGCAATATTTAAAACTACCCTCAACGGGCAATTTTTGTTTTGCGGACAAAACTGCAGGAAATTTAGGATAATTTTTCTCCTCAAATGTGCCAATCTTTGGTAAATACAATGCTATTAAGAGTTCAGGCAGTTGTTAAGACGAAAAGTGATGTAACTCCGTATTAAACAAATTTCTTGTTGTTCTGTCCCAATATATAGTTATCAGCAAATTTGGCTTGATTTTGGCAAAATAAGGTATTATCAAAAGTGATTTGTTTGCAAAGTTATAAAAATATAGTAAAATTGTCTAGATCATATTGTAATGTTTGAATTTAGAATAATAAACAAAATAAATTGAGTCGTTTTAACAAATTACTATTTTTATTGCAGAAAAAGACCTTGTCCCAACATATAGTTGTTAGGGCTCGTAAAAAGATTAACAAAGTATAATAGTAGGCATGTATGATAGAATCATGAATCATGAATGCATGATAGACGGAATCGACATCATAGAGTTCCCATTTTTGAGAACCCTATGATCAAAATCGAGAGAAATGATGAAATAAGTTTTCACTAGTAAATGACTGTATATCTCCGAAATGTCTTTGCAAGAGGAACCCTTTTTTATTATGAATATTTTGAAAAAAATTCTCGTTCTAAAATGGTTATACCCGTTTATACTTCTCAGATTATGTACTATTGCAGAAAATAGAAAAAAAAATTATAAAATTTGAATTTTTTCTTGAAGTCTTAAACGGCATTTATACATATGTTAATACAATTTCGATTTAATTCTTCGATAAATGTGTATCATTATTATTGATGAAAATTATATTTTTGCTGTTATTAAAGTATCACATTTTCCGACAACTATAATCAGCCTTTCCGCAGCATTGAACTAAATAAATTTTGCGTTTCTTTAACAATTTAAAATATCAAAAAAATATGACGTTAATTAAAATTCTATTAATAACAATCTATCACAGAATATAAACGAAATTATATTATCTTAAAAACGCATGTTGATTTTTAGTTTAAGGCTTAAAACGGTATGGAAATTTGGAAAAGTATAAACGGGATTAACCGTTTTAGAAAAGCAAACATTTTATGAAGAATGAATGAATTTTTCTCAAACTTTTAATAAAAAAGTTTACCGGTTACGAAAAGACAATAATTTATTAAATTCGCTTTAAATTAACTATTTACATTTTTGGCACTTTCTTTATTATTTACAATGTAACAGTAAAATTTCATCGCTACGACCTCTGTGTGCTAGCTCATAAATTATCGGAAATAACTGTTATTTTTGCATCATGTTTACTATAATTTTATTGTTAAATATTATTTATTTAGTATTTTACCATTATGCAACCCGATATACATCGCTAGATTATACAGCTTCAGCTCCACTGTCACTGATACCGACCAGCAGTAGGCTTTTTGTCCGCCTCTCTATATCTTTGATCATCACCTGTTCGTCACTTGTCACTGTCGGATCAAATCAGATGTTTTGGATTTATTTTTCCTTTGTTTTGGTTATTGAAATTTTATAATTATCCGATAAAATTTCGTAGTTAAATAGTTATTTTGATGTGGACCGCAGTGTGCAATTCGTTCATTTAATTGTGGGAATTTGTGAGGTTTAGTTCGTTCATTGACCGGATATCGAAGATGGCTATGAAAATGATCTAGAACATCGTTTTTTTTTTATTTATGCCTTTTTTGTGAGTTGGACTAGTCAAGATATATAGTTCTCTATCTATATCCTGGAGATTTCCGGTTGAAATCTGATTTTGTGTAAGAAATCGAATCCTTGCATCACTTCTTGTGTACTCCCCGGCTGAAAAGTGTCGTCGTGAAGAACTGGCTGCCGTTTCATGAAGCATTCCCTGTTGGTGAATAGCAGGTCTTCGTAAGGAAGGATTAAGGCTTCCGAAACATATTTGGTCAGAGACTTGGTTGGATTTTGATGATTTTTTTTTTTCAAACCAAACCAATTTCCGCAATGGGATTAAATAGCCAAATTCTCCGACCAATATTCCGATTCCACGTGCCAAGAAGTCCCCGAACAGTTCCAAGGTATGATATAATTCTTCTGCCTATTCTAGTCAATGCTCAACTGATTTTTATTCATATTGTTGACTGGTTTTCGACTTTTCCACGCCACGTGGTGTAGAAAGACTAGTTGAGTGTTATCTTTCTTAAGTCTTATTTGGTTGTTCGTAATTGTAAGAAGACCGATCCAGACTGTAATACAGAACAGGCCAGAATTCCATCCGTTCCTGTTGCCCGTGTGTAGAGTTACCCGTTGGACATCATAAACCCTCGTTGAGGTAAAGTTCAGATTTGATTAGTCTTTCTTTATTACTTTTATTAAATCCTACACGTTGTGCTAGTCCTTGTTCTATAATTGAGGCTCTTTCTAAGACAACCAATATTATTTAGGGTTTTTATGTTCACCTTTTGAAGTCCTACACCTGGCTGGCATCCATACGTCTGCTGACATCCGTGGGCTCCAGTGACAGTACACCGAGCTGCTGTGCACCGCCGCGCCGTAGCCACCTATTGGCTATACACCGTAGCTCAACCGGAGGAAGCTTCAGTTGTTGCATCGAGTTGAGTAAGACTGTTTAGATTTTTAGTTAGGTTTTTAGATTTGCTACTTGTATTGCGCCCTTAGAGCATACTTAGTTTAAGTTAAGGGGGATGACGTCTTAGTTTAGTATAAAGCTTAGACCATTTTCATTTATTCTTATCGATTAAACTTTACTTCATTTATATACATTTCATCATTTTTCTTTATACATTTAACCTTTTTGATATTTTAAATAAATTGCTTAAATTTTTTTAGTAGTATTATTTTAGTACCTAGTCATAAGTTAGAAGTCAGTCATAGTACAAATAGTAGAATATTTGAAGTTCATGATAGCTGCACTCAACAGTTCTAGGTTAGTGTTGAAGTCTATTTAATAGTTACATCTTTATTGCCGAGTTCATAGAGTATAATCTCGTGGCGCCTTTATTAATACCTTTGAACCCCGACCACCCGGTTGTTAAAATTAAAAAGCTAGTGGCCTCTATGCAACTCATCCTAATTAAGTAAACTTGTGTTTGAACTTCAAATTAGAAAGGGCGTGGCAACAACTTGTCAAAAATAATTAAGATACGTCAATTTGATTTACGCACTTCATTAGCGTTTCTGATACTTATGTAATTAAATAATTATTATAACTTGTCTATTTTTATAAAAACTATATATTTTAATAACTAGAAACATTTATTTACATCGTAAAATAAATAGACAAATTATTAATCTGCATTAAAAAAGCTAAAATAAAAAAAAAAAAATATATAACTAATAATAAACTGTTCAGAACCGCCCAATTAGTGTTATAAATTAGTGGTGTCAATACACTTTATACTTTTTAGTGTACGATCATTCACAATATCTTAAAAAAAATTAATAGAATATCCTAGCCACATCTTGCGGTAATGAGTTGACATCTATAAGAAATCTTAATATTTAGCTTATAAAACAATAACCTTTTGATTTATATCCATTTTCTTGACGGACGATAGCCAAAGGCCAAAATGACAGTTGTTCTGAATGATTACATTTTAAATTAAAGGAACAAACTTTTGCGCTAATTGAAGCCACTAATATACTCCACTAATTGCGAGGTTCTGAATGAACCTTAAATGAATGAAATTAATAATAAATATTATCGAAGCAGATAATTTATTTGCCCAATTTTTTTTCACTGTAACTCTCATACTTTTATATAAAGTATCAAACCAGTTTTTACTGCTTTGTCGGATTCCGCTTTTCTATAGATGCACATGAAATAAAGTATGTTACATTGTATAAGTTTGCTTTTATTATATACTTTTCCATTCTACAAACTCTCCTATTTATAACATTTTTCAGCTTTCTATCGTTTTTCAAAAGTAACTTGTTAACGTTCAGACCTTCCTGTACGTTCCTTTACAACTCCAATTTTAAGCTTTTCGGTATTTGGGCTTTACGCAATCATAATAGCTGACTCCATTAGCTGTCGACAGAATACACCTGTGACGTTTTTTCGGTTTTCTATTATATTCATCGGAAATAGCTACCTATTCACGTGTCTCTACACGATCAAAATTGGCATATGTATATGACGCACATGAAACAGATATTTCACAGTTTGATTTGGAAGATTAATTTTAATATCCTTTAACAATGCGTTCTTAATTAAATTTGTTTAAATCATATCGTTAAGCCTGACGTTAAAATTTAATTTTGTTACTAAGCAGTTATATCATATCCACATGGATATTTGGAGGGTTTGATAGAAACCAAAGAGGGTCTCCTATAATTTAGGAATCTAATAATAGAGATGTTGATCATATTTTAAAATTAGATAACTGTAATATTTTAAAACACTTAATAGAAAAAATATCTGTTTTTTTTTTTTTTTTTTTTTTTTATTTTTTAATGAAATTAGCTACATCGACAAAGTACTCTTTGAAAATTTATTACATCTTAAAATAATCGAAAATGTCAATATTCCAAGGTATAGTAATAAATGAAGTCTAAATTATAAAAATGCACTTCTACGAAAACTTAAGATATAGGTAAAAACAGATAATACAATTTGATAGACAATTAAATTGTGCATCTGATTCACGTAAAATATAAGGTGTTCGGTTTAAATTAAACAAATTATTGCCGTTTTTATTAAAAACTAGTAATTATTAAATATAAATGTTTGGACGCTCTGTATAGGGTAGTATAATTTTTATTATTGCAACACAATATTTGACCAATAAATAAACTTCAGTAAATATTTAGTATTAAAAACTTTGATACCCTTGGAGAAATGGAGCCTTAATTTTTTTATTGCAATTTATAAATTGAAAAATTATTTAAAAAACGGTTAAGGCTTAAGTGTGATTATTTGGGACACTCTTGTAGAATTATTTTTAAATTATAGCTCTAATAGTCGTTCAACGAAGCCAAAAACTTAACAATTTTAAAAATTTAATCGTTTAGATACAATACTCCTGTGTATTGGTGAACAACCCTGTATAAAAGTAAAATGTTAGGAATATATTGATTTTTGTGAAAGTTCAAATGTTAAAGCGCTTAGCATAACATAGGGGCATGCCTAATTCTCATTCAAATCGGAACCAAGTCAGACATGTGTAACCAGCTTTAGAAACACTTATAAAAATGTATTTTTAAAAATTAAAAAAAAACAGAATTTTTTTTTTTTCATCTAAATAGATAAAAATGGGTAGACAAAAAACTTTTCTAAATTAGGTTTTTCAAAATTCAGCAAATTAACCCAATTCACAGATACCTAAGAGCAACGGGGTAAATCTTATAATACAGAGTGGCGCACTCATTCGCCTCGGTTAAATATACCGACATACGATGTTGAAATAGCTACTAACTGATCACTAGCAACATTGGGCATTGGCGTTCATCAGCCATCTTGATTTCTGGACGCGCGTTTTCGCTAAACCATCATCTGCTCATCAGCAGATGATTATAACTAAAGTACAATCTACAAGTTGAGCGTTTATATTACTCGCTCAGTGGCTACCGAGTGGGCGTGGCAAAATACAGCCAACCGAGTCAGAGCCAACTGAGCGTAACAGTTAACCGCCACTAGAGATTTAGTTTGATGCTATGAAAGCATCAGAATTAATAAATTGTAAAATTAGTATGAACAGAGACAACGGTCCAATTCCTCAAGTTCTTTGTTCCTACTACTCTTGTGGCGGAAATCTAACTGTACGCTCAGTTGGCTCTGACTCGTTTGGCTAGATTTTGCCACGCCCACTCGGTACCTACTGGGAAGTATATAAACGCTCAACTGTAGATTGTACTTTAGTTTTAATCATCTGCTGAATGATTTAGTGTAATTTTACTTTGCTGTGTAACACCAAAAGTTCAACCCTCAACTGTAATCTCTGATTAATTTAAAAAAAAAAAAATCCGTTTTTTATTCCAAAAAAAAAAAAAAAAAAAAAAAAAAAAAACCCTAATATAGTTTAAAAGAGCATTTAGATCTGCTTCAATTTATTTTTTAAAATACGATAAGTTTTGTGTTGGAAATAACGAAGATTCTTTATGTAAAATAAATCATATTTTTTTTTTTTGTGTTTATTTTTTTGATACCCCTGTATCGAGCCCTGTATAACATTTAAGGAAGCAAAAATTACAATTTTTTAGTAAAGTTATTTCTCTGCGGTTTCAAAGTCAGCACAAGAATTAACTCTCAAAACTAATGTACAGGGTATTGATTAATCTTTTATAGCATGCTATTTAAAGATCTATTTTAATATCTGAAAAATATTTTTTTTAGTTTATTTTATATTAAACATTTATAATAAAATGCCTTATTTTATGCCCAAGAATTCAGAAATGAAATAAAATGCGGGTGTTCCATAAGAAAACATATAAACTCTTGGTATGGATCTTAGTTCTGACGTATCCTGTACATTTGAAGTAATTTTAAATTATGCACATTGCTCTCTTATATACCCATAAATTTTGTCTCTACATCTTTACGTTTTCGTATAATCAAAAAATCAAAAAAAAAAAAAAAAAAAAAACCCTGTATAATTAAAAAACTTAAAAAAAAACATTTTAAGTTTTTTTTTTTTTTTTAATTTTCTCATTTTTTTACGTAGTGTAATTTAAGTTAAATATTTCTTATTTTTAAATTTTAACTTAAATTTTACTCTGTATACTGTGAGAAATCCAAATAGCTTTAAAATAAAAACCAAAACCTTTTTTTATTTTTTTAAAATATATTGTAAAGAGAAATGAAATAAATTTTTAAACTTACCAACACAACAGGTAGTCTATTGCATCCAGAGCCTCATATTCAACAGCAACGTGTAAAGGAGTGTTTCCAGCATTGTCTTGGGCATTTAAATCTGCAAGAGAAATAAAGCATAATAATACAGTGTGAGTTCTAGACAAGTGCAAATATTTTAAGGGTAGTATATTTTGATTCCAGAAACACGACTCTATGATTTTATTTTCGAAAAAATTTGGATTATTTTTTTCACTGTTTAGTTAAAACATAATTACGTAATAATATGACACCATAGGTAGTAGATTAATTTTAAAACCTACGTTTTCTAATTAAAAACAAAGTAAAAAAAAAAATATTATTTTCAAAAGTAAAATAACTCGGATTTTTGGACTAGTATCCTGTTTAACTATTTTATTATATTCATAAAAATGTTTACTGAAAACTTTTTCTCCGTATTTGTTTAAAATACTTATATGTCTAGAGAATCTCTATTTTTTATGAAGCTGAAATTTGTGATAAAGAATGTGTAAGAAATATATGACCTAATATAAGCTTCACCATATTTCAACGTTAGACCCTATATACACTACATTATTAATTCTTATATGTATATTACTAGGCATAATAATTTGAAGGTAATTTTTATTTACAAATAACATATTCGACGAGATTGCAATAAAGAAAACGAGTTTTTTAAGACATACAGGGTGAACGTATAAATAGTTAAAATAGACAAATTAAATAAAAAAAAATCATTTTTCGCTTAAATTTAAAACCACTGTATTTGTTTCTGGGTTTTCCAATCCAATAAATTTAATCTCAGTTCAGTTGCTGTGATCGAAATGTGCTACCACTAAAACTATCTGCACTCATTTTACACTTTTATTTAAGTCTATCCTGTTGAAATATCGAGCAGAATGGTCTAAATATCTTTTAGCTTCTTTAGGCCCAAATAAATATTTTTTTAATAGTGTATCTACAGGGTGGCCCGCACTGTATTCCGCAAACTTCGGCAGCTTATTTCTGCACATAAAATAAGTAAAAAGTTCGTAGTATAAACTTATGTCCTAAAATCTTCATTTCGGATATTATAGGATGTAGAAGTTTCATTTTTATATCGATTTTTCCAAATAAATTATTGAACAATATCGATTATTTGGATGAAAATTGGTATCTGTGTTTTGAAATTTTATATGGACATTTCTTGTTTACTCAAGTTAATCCAACTACATGAAATTTATTCAATTAGTTTTAATAAAAAGTAATCCTATGTAAATAGACTTTATTTCCTGTGTAAATAGACTTTCTCTTTGAGAAAATGTTGAGAAATTAATTTTTGTTGGGGGCGCCACATACATGTTATTTTGCTGTTTTGAATATAATAAACTTTTCGTCCGTCCCTATATTACATACTGAGTGAAACAAAATATACATTTATGCCTTACTTTACGTTAAATGTATCTTGCTAAAAATCACTGCGAACAAACCGTTCTCGAGATATTTGGATCTTAATATAATCAATTGTAGAATTTTATTTAAAGATTCTTATTCTTCTTTACGTTGGCCGTCTCTTTCGTGGAGGGTGGCGATCACATTGGCAAAATCTCCACGATTCTCGGCTTTCCTTATAAGTTCTTCAAAAGCTAGGTTCTTCAAAAGTTAGGTGGTAATTTAAAGATAAAGATACAGAACTATTCGAGGAATTATTTTATTTAAATAATTTCAAGATTAAGTCCTCGCACCCAGATGGCGTTCTAAGTATTGTTATTAGACAGTTAAAACAAGGCACAATACGTATACGTATCTCTCGACACGTATCGCAGAAACTTACGTTACGTTTGCCGTTGCGTTGTCGTGTAAACAAGAGTTAAAACAAGTATTTTAAAAAAAAAAAAAAAAAAAAAAAAAAAAATTAATTCTAAATTATTTTTTGAAACAATTTATTTAATTTTAAAATTGGAAAATTGATATCTATTACTCCATTGATTCCACATTAATTTATAAAAGTGATATCGAAAACTGAGCAAAATTATAAATGGGAAACTATTTTATTACAGAAAGTCTAGTCCTTCAACTTAAAATGCTCTTCGTAATTTCGTAATAAAAAATATTGGAAAACAGACACAGCTTTATGATTATTTATTAGCTTCCATCTTTTAGAATCCTCATATGGATTTTTGCTAAGAACTAGCATTTATTAAATAGATTTTCCAAAATGATTTATATGCATACCTTATATTATATACTAATATTGTAATAAAATAGGCCCAGTTCTTTTACACAGGCCAAAAACAGAAATTTATGAAATAACTTAATTACTATAGCCAGTTGTGGAAACGAGTTGTTTGTGAACTTGTACGTTCGGCATCATTTGGTGTGAAAATCGAAACTACTTCGGCTCGATACGTTTGCGTTTTTATACGTACGTAAAGGCACGTAAAGATACGTATCACGTATCCGTAAACGCAATTGAATTTCACACTGCGCAAGCGTTCATGTCAAACGATACGTTTACGTCTTTGGCCGTGCTTTAACTGTCTATTATCTATGTATTTTTCTTCAAGTTTATTTTGTGGCGACACTTTTCAGTGCGATCGAGTTCGTTGGGTCACTTTATTTCTGACAGTATAGGTATAGGCATACCTGGTGTCTGCCTTCATCGCGATATTGGTGGCTAAAGGCTGAACCCGATAGAGCTATCGGCGTTTGTTGATTTGCCAAATTTTGTTTTCGGCAAACCCTCTAAGCAGAGGTAAGACTCTTATTTTAAACGTAACGTTTCCGTATTAACTTTTTTTTTTTTTTTTTTTTTTTTTTTTTTTTTTTTTTTTTTTTTTTTTTTTCAAAATACTAATTTTCTGGTACCAATTTTTGTCTTTTTTTGTACCTAACATTTGGTCCACGTTTTGTCCCTACATTTTACACCGGGAATAACGAAGGAATCTCATGAATCCACACAAGTTTTCGATCCTGTCTGTCCAGAAACAACTTACATCACCATCCAGTTCCGATAGCAGTTCACCACAACCAGCTTGTGGCCAGAACGGATAAAACAGGCCAGATCATTTGATTTATATTCTATATAAATTTAATTTCATTTAAAAAAAAAAAAAAAAAAAAAATATTATATATTTAATTACTTAAGAATTCACTTTGATAAATCCTACACACATGTTATGCATATTTCTGATATTCACATAGTACGGTTTTTTTTTATTTTTTTGAATATAAAAAGTCCCTACACTTTGATACCAAGATCGCCAGACTTTATGCGGAATAATTCTTTTAAAAATATTATTCATAAGCGTGCAGATTTAATATTATACTTATTAATATACACATATCAATACAATTAACCAACAAATATTGTTCAAACATCAATTTTTTCATATCCTGATATAATCTATTTTACATTTAATTATTATTAATATACTTAGTTATTAGTTTATCTCAGCGTTCATTTGTGTAATTCCTAAAATAAGTAATACCTATATTCTGAGTTGATTTCTAAGTTTTTCAACTTTTTTCAGAGTTTCGAAGTAAATGAGAACTGAGTGGCGCCTCCTGCTCACCGGCGACAGGCTCCGTCGCATAGCTGTTAGTATGTTTTAAATATTTTTCCAAAAGAAATTTCTTATAAAAAACATTCCATCTTTTTTATAACTTCTAATGCTACACAATAATACATGTCATGAAAATTTTGACAAAAAGATTTTCACGAGAAAGATATTTGGCTAAACTAATAATTTTCGAGACATCATAGGTTCAACTGATGCTGTTTTAAAACCTAACTGTAAGTTTTCTAGAAATTTTGCAGAATGTTTCGAAAATTATTAATTTACTCAAATATCTGGAGCTAGCGGACATAATATGTTCACTAGATAGATATTAAGAAACATTTTAGGTTATAAGAGACATTTTTTAACACAACTGTATATTTTTTTTTCACTCATTAGTGTAATATAAGGACGGACAAAAGTTTATTACCCTTCAAAACAGTTAAAAAATATGTAGGTGGCGCCCCCTACAAGTAGGAGTCATATTGATATCAAAATCAAATTTCCTATGTCAAAAAACCCTCAGACACAAATTTTCATCTAAATATTGACGTTACTTCAGAAATTATTTGGAAAAAATCGAAATAAAAATGACATTTCTACACCCTGTATCTCCGAAACTAAGCATTTTAGGACCTACATTTATACGAACTTATTTACTTATTTTTATGTGCAGAATATAAAAAATGTTTATGTTCAGAATATAAAAAAATAATATAAAGTATAAAAAAAAATATTACAAACAAGTTTACAATAATTCAAAAATATCAAAATAGATGCACAATGAATTCTTAGAATTTGTATGTGTACATATTCAATGATTTTTAATAAAAACGCGCGGAATTAACCTAAGCTAGTCAGTAACAAAAATTAATAACAATCCAAATAACAAGCCTAATAATATATTATTTCAGTTTATAATTTCTAAAATATTTTCATTAAGATTCGTTAAACAAACATGTTTTTTATCCAAAGGTTTTTTTATCCTAGTAATTTTTTTGAAGCATATATGCTTCCGAGGTTTCCAGAATACAGGTTAGACTACCCTGTATATGAAAGAAGCAAATTTTACACTAACAGAACAAGTAGTTTTATTTTTAACAAAATAAATAATTCATTTTCCATTTTGAGATTTTTTTTCAATGTAGATCTAAACTATTATTCCTACACCCACGATATTTATATTACAAATCTTATAGCACATATTATGATGTCTACGAGCTTTCTTGATCCCCTTTTTAAACTCTTAACACCAATTTATGACACATATCGTACAAACCATGTGTACCAGTATCACGTTGGTAAGAGGGCACATTAAAACCCTCAAGTTACAAACAATATAAAAACCAGACACGTGTAGAAAAGCCTTTGTTCAATACCCTATTAATCATTTACCACAAAAACAGTTAAAATCGGCCTATGTAACATATATGAACATGTACATAATGAAATTAATTTAACATATTTAATAAATCGTTAATATCATTACCAAAACTGAAGTTATTAGTTTGAAAGTTTTAATGATCTAGCTCCCCTTATCGAGACAATTAGTTACTATTAA